TGCATGGCGGTGTGCTCGATTTTATACACCTGTCAGTAACGTGTGGCTGAAATAGTCGAATCCAGTAATTTGAAGGGCTGTCCACATACCTTTGTATATAGTGTACTATCCTAAAGTAGGCCTGATGTAAAATAAATATCATTAGCCTATTGTTGTCATTTGTTGGGTAGACCTATGGTAGGAACTCACCTTTGTTGGTAATTGCTGCAATATAAGCCTGTGAAAAACTGCAAAACTTTGAAGGTTTAAACCAGTTCAGTTTAGATTTTCAACAAGTGTTTTGTTTCATTCTGTTGAGACATTTTCTTTGGCCAAATTAAATTTCAACTGTAATGTTGTGTTTGCTGCAATATAATAGAATGACCGGTAGACCTAAATAGGGCTACTCACACTCAAATCATGAAAAGGAAAACCAAAGAGGGCGAGATGCAAAGCCTAATTTAATGCTGCAATATAATAACCTGTTCGTATTTTCCCTATAAACAATGACTTGACTTACTTTTGATATTACCATAATAAAGTTAAGAAACTTTTGTGAAGGTTCTCCGACAGTTGAACTTGAGGTGGGGAAGATTGTTTTAGGCCTACCAGAGTTACTCCGTTAAGCTAACAATATAATGCTTATCTTTATCAAAAAAATATTCTGATAGAAAATGTACGAATTAGCCTCCTCCTGTAAGCCTATCTGACAAGGATAAAGAATTCATGTTGGTGTCAGGAACATGGCGCCGGCATATCTCTATCTTTCTGTCGGTCTCTCTAGGGCTAGGACTAGGCCTAAGCTTCTCTTCCTTTTATATTTTTTAAATATTCATATCATACAGTGGACACCTAGGCCTATAGCCTATATGTGTAACGTGTACGCTGGGAGTCGGGAAGCAAGTACAGGGAGTGAATTTAATAATAAATGGAACAAAACAAGAAACCCGATTAGCGTACAGACATGAAACACAGGAACAGAATCAATAATGCCTAAGGAAGGAACCAAAGTGAGTGATATATATATATATATATATATATATACAGTGAGGGAAAAAAGTATTTGATCTCCTGCTGATTTTGTATGTTCGCCCACTGACAAAGAAATGGTCAGTCTATAATTTTAATGGTAGGTTTATTTGAACAGTGAGAGACAGAATAACAACAAAAAAATCCAGAAAAACTCATGTCAAAAATGTTATAAATTGATTTGCATTTTAATGAGGGAAATAAGTATTTGACCCCCTCTCAATCAGAAAGATTTCTGGCTCCCAGGTGTCTTTTATACAGGTAACGAGCTGAGATTAGGAGCACACTCTTAAAGGGAGTGCTCCTAATCACAGTTTGTTACCTGTATAAAAGACACCTGTCCACAGAAGCAATCAATCAGATTCCAAACTCTCCACCATGGCCAAGACCAAAGAGCTCTCCAAGGATGTCAGGGACAAGATTGTAGACCTACACAAGGCTGGAATGGGCTACAAGACAATCGGCAAGCAGCTTGGTAAGAAGGTGACAATAGTTAGTGCGATTTTATATATATATATATATATATATATATAGGGGAGGTAATCAGGAAGGTGATGGAGTCCAGGTGAGTCTCATAATACTGCGCAGGTGCACGTAATGATGGTGGCAGGTGTCCTTAATGTCAACTGCCGACCTCGAGCGCCAGAGCGAGAGTAGACGTGACAATATGCATGCAATGCCCTAATGCATTTAGCACTCAAATCTCCAACAGCTGAACCGTGAGGTGGACAATTATTGTTTTAGGAAATCAATAAAACAATATTTGAAACGCAACAAATAGTTTTTTTGTCATTTGTTATAGGCAGTCTGTGGATCATTTGGCCAATATCACTCGTTTATTGATGGCGCTGGCAGCACCCAGTCTGATATTTATTTCTCTCTCTCTTTCTTTCTACTCTCAGATCTGAATGGGTCTCTCAGATCCGAACCGGCACAGGGTCTGTTTTGGGTCTGTTTTTCACAGGCCTTTTTGGAACAGGTCTGACTGTCCTCGGGTCCATTCGGAACGGGTCTCTGTAAAAAAAAAAAAAAAAAAAAAAAAAAGTATGCGTATCCACAACCTTTTGGACCTGTGAAGACCTCTAATGTGAGGACAGAGTAGCATGTATCCTGTTTCTGTTGTCATTGTTTTAGGGAGAAGTGCCCTTATCCCAGAACTATTTTGGTTAGATGAGTTGGACTCCAATCTGAGTTAGCCTAGTGCTTTTAGTGATGGGCCTATTCCCCAAACCTCTTATCCTCTTTAGTGTTTTAGTAATAGATACCCCTACATTTCTGAATAATCTTTTTTGTTTGAAAGATGAATACTGTAAATGTTTGAGTGATGGCCTTCAAGTACTTTCTACCTGACAGTTAGTGTTTTTAGGGTTAAGATGACTTAATCAGACTCTCTTTTACTCTCTAACTTCTCTCTGTGTTAGTGTTGGAGAGTTAACTTTCTGGACAGTAACTAAGTCCATTCCCTGTTGATGAGTGGAGTGCTGGCCGGGCCAGTGAGAGCTGATCACTAATGGCTTCTGACACAAAACGATGTGGCTTCCTCGCCATCTGACTGCCCCAGGCTACTAGTGGACACACATGCACAGACACGCCCACACACACACACACAGAGCACGTCAGCAGCATTTGCACTCCTCCCTCTTGTCCTGCACCTCTCTCACTTCCTCCCCAGCTTAAAATGACCCTTCTCTAACCTCTGGGACCCATGGCTAGTACAGGACTAGAGCGCGAGAGAGAGAGAGAGAGAGAGAGAGAGAGAGAGAGTGGGCCTGGTCTCTAAAAGGACCTCTTGGGTTTTTAGCCGTGTTCCTGCCTGAAAGGGTTTAATGGAGTTGAACTAAGGGCAATTAGCTGGCCAGGACACATGGTGCTCCAGTGGGCTGTAGTGCAGCAGTGGGATCTACCCGGGCCAGTCCAACGGCTGTCAATCTTAGAGAGAAGGTTTTTCATATTCCCCTATTGCATAAAACACACAGTACAAGGAATATAGACTCGCAATGCTTTTCGAAGGAGTGCACAGAATCGTCTTAAAAAGGGAAGATGCAAACCTCTAAGGATGTAGCCTACAGTCAGTTCTGCTTCATGTGCATTTTACAATGATCATCACAAAGAACCGAATCGTACATATGCTGTTATTTCTGTACCGCCATAGGCTACGTTTCATTGGAAATGCGAAAGAGTCAGTCAATTCTACTACACTTTTACACAGACAAAGGGTGAGATGGATGTATTTCCTACTGTATAACACCACTGTAAAGTGCATTGAAAATGTAGAACGCTGTAGTGTTGTCACGATACCAACATTATACAAACGATACGTACCAGGCCAAGTATCATGATACCGAGTAGTATCGCGATACAACGGTATAAAAAAAAAAAGTGGCCTAACATTCTGTTTGCCCCTGTCCCCCAGCCACTTTTTAAACGTTCTCTAAAAACCTGTCACTGAAATTCACACTTCTACTTTTGAATTTAACTTCACACTGTTCAGTGTATAATAGAATGCTGCATAGAATGGCTGATTTGCTCATATTTGCTAAAGTTGTTTGTTATCAAACCAATAATTAGCGACCCGGGATTAGTTTAAAACGGACCGCGACATGGTTTGTGAAATTATATAAAATGCGCGCGAATCACGATAGAAAGAAAAAAGGGCATCTCTGGTAATATGGGTCTTTTTTTTTTCTTTTTTTTTAAAGGCTGGAGACGAGCTGTTTTCTTTGCTGTAAAGCTGCAAGCATTTTCCCTCTAACACTTAGAGGCTGCATGACAGTGAACTTGCAAAGTCTACTCAAACTGGTATGTGCTCTTGGTTACAACAGGCGATGAAATTATACAATGTATGAACATTGCTTGCTTTGCTGCTCCAATGTAACATATGTACAAATCTAACAATAGAAGACTCATCAGGGTCTGGGTCTGCATCCCCGCTCACCATCACTGCTAAATAATATATTTTTAACTAATGGGACCCATCTCGTCCAGAAAGTTGACTCAAGTTTGCCAAAAAGCACCTGGATGATCATCAAGACTCTTGGAAGAACGTTCTATGGACAGATGATTCAAAAGTATAACTTTTTGGACGACATGGTTCCAGTAATGCCTGGCGAAAACCAAACTCTGCATTCCACAGTAAGAACATCATACCAAAGGTCAAGCATGTTGGTGGTGGTGTGATGGTTTGGGGATGCTTTGCTGCCTCAGGACCTGGACGACTTGCCTTAATAGAAGGAACCATGAATTCTGCTCTGTATCAGAGAATTCTACAGGAGAATGTCAGACCATCCGTCTGTGAGCTGAAGCTGAAGCGCAGCTGGGTCATGCAGCAAGACAATGATCCAAAACACACAATCAAGTCTACATGAAAATTGCTAAAAAGCAACAAATTTGAAGTTTTGGAATGGCCTAGTCAAAGTACAGACCTAATCCCAATTGAGATGTTGTGGCAAGACTTGAAACGAGCAGTTCTTGCTTGAAAACCCACACGTCACTGAGTTAAAGCAGTTCTGCATGGAAGAGTGGGCCAAAATTCCTCCACAGCGACGTGAGAGACTGATCAACAACTACAGGAAGCATTTGGTTGGAGTCATTGCAGCTAAAGGTGGCACAACCAGTTATTTAGTGGAAGGGGGCAATTACTTTTTCACACAGGGGAATTGGGTGTTGCATAACTTTGTTTATGAAATAAATATGTAATTGTTGTGTTATTTGTTCACTTATGTTCCCTTTATCTAATATTAGGTTTTGGTTGAAGATCTGATAACATTCAGTATCACAAATATGCAAAAGTAGAGAAAATTTCGAAAGGGGGAAAATACTTTTTCATAGCACTGTACATGGAACGCCTAGGGGTCCCCGAGGAGAGGTTTGAGAACCACTGGGTTAGTTGATGATATGCTAGCCAATGGGGCAGCCGGGGCGGTCTAACGCAGTGATAGTGGCGATAGCTCTTAGCACTTCGTCCATTTCTCTCCCTGTGTCCGTGTTCACACATGAGCGCTTTGAGTGGCAGTGACATTTATGGGCTCCGCTCGAACGGCACCCCATGTCGAGTGGCCCCAGGGGCCCCTCAGTCCCTCGCCTCCATCAGCCTGGCACACTCTATAGAGTTGGCCAACCGTGCTAGTCCCTAGTTCCCTAGGACGGGCCTTATGAACACATCTACATAATCTTAGTTATTCTAGTTTGAACACGTCCTAGTTTGAACACGTCCTAGTTTGAACACATACTAGTTATTCTAGTTAGGTTTGGGCGGTATCCAGATTTTCATACATCATACACTTTCTATACCATACCGGGGTATACAGTATAACCGGAAGTGCACACAAGGGGTGCTTTTTTTGATGCACAAAACAGTATAGGCAACAGGGATCTTGATCAAGGAGGATAAACCTGGATAAGAAGTTCATCTTCACATCAGGAGGACGTCAGTGCCCATTTAAAATCATTTTTTGCTTTGATTCTAACTCGCACTCTATTTGGCCCTCCACTCCTGTCCTCTCCATTAACATTGACCAGAGAGAGGATGATAGGAGGTGCTAGATCAGAAGGTCCCGGTGTTTTCCATTCCAATAAGTGTCAGTCAGGTGGATGGTTGTGAGGGGATTCACTCAGTATTCTCCTGCAGTAGTACCAGCAGCTTCTTCTCCTGTCTGTCTGTCTGTCTGGCTCCTCTCATCACAGGGGCATTGTGCACGGATTTACTGCCCTCAATGCCCCCAAGAGAGAGATTTGATTCCACTGCACTGGCTAATCTCCCTCTCCTCTCTCTCCCCCCGCCCCTCTCTCTCTCCTCTCTCATTCCATCTTCTCTCCTCACTTTTTTTCCCCACTTATCTCCAACTTCCCTTTTAACGTCTGCTCCCTATCTCCCACTCTTCCTCCTCTTCTCTCTCTCTTTCTGTCTTTCTTTCACACAGCCACTCCCAGTCCCCGGGCTCCATGGCGGCAGCAGTGCAAGGCAGCGAGTGGTCGTGCGGCCGCTGCACCTTCCTGAACGCAGGGGCGGCGCCGCGCTGCTCCATCTGCGAGGCACCGCGCCAGAAGCCCGACCTCAATCAGATCCTGAGGCTGAGCAGCACCGAGGAGCAGCAACGCTGGGCCTGCCCCCGCTGCACCCTCAACAACCCCCAGGGCTCTGGCGCCTGCACCGTCTGTGGCTTCGGACCCTCGCCGGGCACCCCCACGCCGACCACTACCATGGCTGCCACCACCAACGGCTTCCTGCCCCCGCCGCCGCAGCCTCCGATGCCGGTCATGACTCCCACGGTTCTCCCGGAGCCCCGCGGGCAGCAGCCGGCCAAGGAGGAGGCGCTGAGGAGATCGGAAAGCAACGGGGAGGTGGGGGGCCTGAGCGGCCTGGGTGGATCCGAGGGGCAGAAGCACCACCACTCAGGCTGGGCGTGCCCACGATGCACGCTTCATAATACTCCTGTTGCATTGTCGTGTTCGGCCTGTGGGGGACCAAGGAAACTGTCGCTGCCCAAGATCCCCCCCGAGGCGCTGGTGGTGCCCGAGGTGCGCACGCCCGTGCTAGGGTTTCCCGTCCACGTAGCAGGGGCCTCCGCCCCTCCGCTCCTCATTGACTTGACAGACGACTCACCCCCCGCAGCCCCCCCCTGCGAACCCCAGGAGCCCCCCGACGCCAACTTGCCCCCTCCGCCACTCTCCTCCCCTTTCACGCCCTTCTCCTCTCTCCAGAACAACCCAGTGCCCCGCAGCAGGAGAGAGGTGCCCCCACCAGGGCGGCCGCCCAACCCTAACCCCAACGCCCCCAGCCCGACTTCTCCCTCCACGGCCTGCGTGCCCCCCCAGCCCTGCCCTCCCCTCCGCCCTGCCAAGCCTAAGCACGCCCAGCCTCAGGAGCCCTCCTTCCCCAGCAAGCGCCTCAGCATCCTGGAGGAGGAGGACGGCCCCCAACCCCATCACACCTCCCACGACCCCGTCACATCACCCCCCACTTGGAAGTGCCCCGGGTGCTCCTTGCCCAACCTGAGCGGCTCGTCCAAGTGCGAGGCATGCCGCTCATCGCGGGCTGGCGCCGACCTCATCGACCTGGTGGGCTGCGAGTCGGTGCGCTTTACGCCGGCCAGCCCCTCCAGTCCGGACTTCAGCACCTGGGCCTGCTCCAAGTGTACCCTCCGCAACCCCACCGGGGCGGCCAAGTGCTCGGCCTGCGGTTCCTCCAAGCTCCATGGCTTCCAGGAGCCTAGTTCTCGCTGCTGCCCGCACTGCGGCCTCCCCGGCCCCTGCTCCTGCTCCTCAGCCTCCTCCTCATCGTCTTCTGGACACAAGGCCCGAAAACAAGCCCGGGTCTACCCCTCACCCTCGCCCTCGGCCACCAACACCTCCTCCTCTTCCTCATCCTCCTCCTCCTCCTCCTCTTCCTCGTGCACGTTACTGCAGGAGAAGCAGTGGGGCTGTCCGGCATGCACGCTGCTCAACGATGTCAAGTCAAAGAACTGCGCGGCATGCCACACGGCCCAGCAGTACCTAACACTGCGCAAGGTGGCCAAGCCACTGAAGAGGAGGGAGAGCATGCACGTGGAGGCACGGCGGCGCAACGACGAGGGCGAAGCCAAGGAACTCTGGGAGAACATCACCACCTTCTGTCGAGAGGTAAGCCGCTCTGGGAACCGGGGGTTGGGAAATGGATTGTGTTTATGCTTTTCAAAAGCTAATAGCGTCTTCTTAAAGAGCATGTGTCAAGACAACTGACATCATACGCTAGCAACTTACATCAGTTTCCAAGAGCTTGCCACTGACATGTCAGCATCTCTTTCAGTAGAGATGAATAGTCAACGAGCTTCCCAAAGAACATATTTCATTGTTCCATGAATATTGAATGCATTAGGGGTGTTTTACATGCGTCACACTGCAACTCTGAACTGCCAAGTGGCACAATACTGCTTTCTAATACTCTGGCTTCTTTACCATGGTTCCGGTGATTAAACGCGCTACTCCGATCAGCCTAATTTTTTAAGACGCTGCCAAGAGACCCTAATAGGCTTTTATTGTTGTTGTAGTTTCAGTTTGCACTCCTCTGCTCATTAGTTGATGTTTAATGGGGCACGGGGTGAACGTTTGTCCCTTGATTGCACTGGCGGTCCTGAGCGTCTCTGTTTATCCCAAATAGTAATTCTGAAATCTCCAAGTCGGATGACGTTTTTCCATACCTCATAATGGTTTCCAATTAGTAATTGTTTGTCCTAAAAATGCTCCGAAGTGAAAGGGTTCTGTTTGTCCATGAGTAAGTTACTCGCAAGCCCAGAGTCTGTGTGTATCATATTTATCATTGCAATATGTGCGGTGCAACAACACAACATTGAGAGAGATGGTTATAAAGCCCATAAGGATCTCTCGGTCACGTCCAGGCGGGTGTTTAAGTGAGCTACACAAATTTAGGATTAGCTGCCCCTCCCACAATCCTAACCTTAGTGGGGAAAATGCAACACTGACCAAAGGTCAGCGTTTAGGGGCAACTTCACGCTGCTACACCATGCTGCCCCGGTACACTTTCTGATCTGCATAAAGACTTTGTCTCTCTGGCTTTACTTTCTCTCACACAGACACTACCAGTCTGTTTCAGTCTTCAGTTCACACAAGGAGACGTGAATCTTAATACATTTTTATTTAAATTGAAACAGTGAAATGTGGTTTTTATAATGGCGTCAGTCAATGCATACAAATCAACCTCAGTCAGTACAATTTAATTTATAGTAAACTTAGAAATAACAATTTTAATAAACTATTGCAAGATTACAAGAGGGTTGAAAGTTCTCAAATAGCCAACAAAAACGTAGATCCTCTAACCATAATGACGTTGACCCCCATCAAGAAACAATGAATTTTCATTAACCAGCATAATTGTCAGTCTGGAAGAATTAATCAAGGATTTTCTTAATGGAGAAAACCTAATTACAACCTAATCTCTAGATTAAAACACCTCATGTAGAGTGACATCCCTTTGCCCCACCACTTGTGCTCATCTTGAAATACTAAAAGACCATTTTGGGTCAGTACTCTTGCGTAAGCGTTTTGATTGGTCCGATTTTGATTAGCCTTTGGAGTGGTTGGTTTCGTAGCCAGCGTGATGTAACCAGTGGCAACTGCCTGTTCGGGTGAACATTGTGTTCCTGAAAACCTGAAGTAGCCAGCGTAATGAAAAAATGTACCTGCTAGGGGGGTGCGGGGGCATGCCCCCCCAGCAAAATGTTTGCCCTAGAAAATGTATTAGTCAATTAAGTAGCCAGCCACATAAGGTTTAGTAGTGTGCTATTTGTTTGGCAGTGTATAGAACACACTGGGTGAGGGGACATAAGACTGACCCCAGGGAGAGAGAGAAGGAAGATAGCAGCATCTGTTGCTAGCTCACTTTTTGACTTTTTCAAGTTTGCTTTGTCTCGACACCATGGAATCTGGATTGAAAAAAGCCACAGAATTCCATCATGTTTAAAGTTTACCTAGGCCTACTGTAAGTCATCAAATGTGTTTGCCTACGCTATTTGTCATAAGCAAGAAAATGGGCGGTACATTTTAACTGATACAGGAACGTTGTCGCTCACACGTATGCATTTCATTCCATGTGGAGGGTATCGTGTCATGTTTAGAATGGCACACCGTCAGCTCTACCATGCATTATTTATGTCAAGTGCTGCTCTGCGAGTTGCAGGTTCACCTTTGTGAGCGTGGGTGGGACGCGGGCTTATAGAGGAAGGATGTTGGAGAGCCTCTCCTCTCCTCCTCTTCAACAACTAGGCTAAATGTATCCCTTCATCTCTACTCTCATCCCTCACTCCAATATCCCATCCCACCATCCTCCTCCTCTCTTCCCATACCCCCCTACTTTATTCCCCCTCTCCTAATTTCTACCCCCCCGTGCACCATACCACCCCCCCCCCCCCCCCCCCCCCCCCCTTTTCCTTTGCGGCTGTGGTGCTACTGATGTGCACGCTAAGGTGAACACGGGCCGTTCTATTTTTAGAAACGGGGGAGTAGAGTAGCAGCAATTATCCGCTTCCCTAAAGCAAATGTAATCAGCGGGAGCATCGAGCGGCACAGCTTAGTTTAGGGATGGTGGAGTCAGCTAAGCACACTCCCCCCCCCCCCCCCCCCCCCCCGTGCAGTGCATCTATCTCCCACAGGGTGCCTCATGACTGCCTCAGCCTCACACGAGATGCTGAAATACCGTAAAATTATGTATTTTATAAAGCCCTTTTTACATCAGCTGTTGTCACAAAGTGCTTTACAGATACCCAGCCTAAACCCCAAAGAGCAAGCAATGCAGATGCAGAAGCACAGTGGCTAGGAAAAACTCCCTAGAAAGGCAAGAAGCTAGGAAGAAACTTAGAGGGGAACCAGGCTCCGAGGGGTAGCCAGTCCTCTTCTGGCTGTGCCGGCTGGAGATTATAAGAGTACATGGCCATTAAAGCCAGATAGTTCTTCAAGACGTTAAAACGTTCATAGGTAACCAGCAGGGTCAGATAATAACCACATTGGTTATAGAGGGTGTAGGCTCACGTTGCCATAGCTTCAAAATCATGTCGCTGGAGAATTTTGTGTTGCAAAAACGGTTTGAATGGTCTGCTGGGATTTTGATTGGATGTTACATTTCAAGAACCTTCTCCCCACATGCCTGTAGAAGTGTTATGTGCATCACTGTTTTCCGTCCGGGTAGGACATATTTTGTAGAGAGTTGTTGCGTATGTAGCCCAAAGGCTAGCAGATGGCAATATTGAGTCGTTTTATCTTACCGTCCAACATCGTACCGTCCAACATGCAGCCAGCTATACATTCGTATCCCCCGTGGACAGGTTTGTACATTAAACATTCTTCATTCAGGCTGCAAAGGTGTGGTTTTCCTCCTTAAAGACATTCTCTGGAACTTTGGTGACTGCAAAATATTTTTTAAACCTCCGGCTTTGGGCTGTATGTGTCAATGTGTAGTTCTTACATTCATAATCTATGAGCAGACTACTGGCTTAAACAGTATACATAAACTGTATATTCTGCTTGGATAGTTCCATCTGAGCCACTGAGTCTGGCTTTAATTCAAGTTTGTCTACAGATTAGTAATAGATCGTATTGAATCTAAGTTAAAGAATAGGACTAAATCAAATCTAACTTTAAATGCACTTTAAATAGTTTGATTTGATTTACTCCTATTCTTTAACGTCGATTTTTTTGCGAGAGATGGAGACGTGATTCCAACATTTGTTATTAACTTGTAGATTCTATTTGAAATCAATCAAATCTTCAAACCCTAGGCCTATATGTATTGTCAATTTTGTTGAATTTAAACAATAGCTGTTGATGACTTCCCAAATGTTATATAGGCCCTAAATAGCAGCATTGGTGATATATGATTGATAAAGTATGGTTACATTTCATTTGGAATGACTTCTATAGCAACAGTGAATATCTTTAAGTGGAGATTTCTCAACAATCATTCTCACGATCGCACATATAGTCAGTGACAAATATCAAAGCTAAGCAGGAAAGGGCTTGGTTAAAACCTTGGATGGGAGACCGAAGGTATAGCTGTAGATATATCAACTCTCCAGTAGGAGGTGCTGACCAGCCTATTGTTTTTTTCTAATAGTGGATATTACGTTGAAGATCTGACGTTGTTTCCAAGGTACAAAGGTTTGTCTATGTTGAAAATTGGTTACCATGATGACATAATCATGTGGTTGAAATGTTACCCTCAAAACAACAGTTGATTACTTTTTTTCAAAATCCAATGTATTTTCCTTGTATATTCCACGTCACAATATGTTGACAAATTACGTTGAATCAACGTTGATTTAACCACTTTGTGCCCAGTGGGAAGTGTGCCCATCCACTGTACAATTTCAGATAGGGTAACAATGCTTAGGCATGTTAGCAAAACATTGTTTCTCGCTTGCCACCAGGAATGAACTCTCTTTGGGAACATGCAGACTACACTGAAGATATTGATTCTGTTTCCTCTGTTGACAACAACATCATATGTTCCATCTGTCCCTTCTACTTTTCATTAAATAGCCAAGGCTATATAACAGCACGATTCAAACAGTAGGCATACACGTGGATTTTAACTGAAAGCTTGTGAACCTTACAGCAACAGGCAAATCACCACTTTCTACTCTGACAAATTTCAACTGCCACATGTTTCAACTCGCCATATTGGCACGTGTTTTACAATAAGTCAGTGTAAGCGTTATCAGCGCTGTTTCTATGTGATGGCGGTTCAATAAGTGTGCCACTGTCATGTCGACTCAAAATCCATCTATTACCACGATCAATAGGTTGACTGTAGCATCGCACTTGGTTGCAGTGAGTGCCAGTCACTCCCTCTCCGCATTCAAATGTCCCAGTATTGATTCAGGTTTCTATAGAAACTCGGGACAGCTGGAGTGCTGTGTGTTTTGTTAGCCGGACTTGCCTAGCCATGAACTGTGACTGTGAATGCAGTAGAGTACTCTCAGGCATTGGCATTGGCCCAGCCTTGGGATTTACCCAACACGGTTCCATCGGAGACAGTCAGGCAGTCAGACCAGCACTGTGTTGCACTGTCGCCATCACAACAGGCCTCAAACAGCTGGCCCTGGCGAGAATAGCTGAAGGGACACTAACGCTTCATGGGACTGTTTGTGTCTTGTCTGTCTGTCTGGCTCGCTGTGGCAGTCTGTCCTATTTCTACACGTGTCATGATGACTCATCTGCTTCGTCCTCGTTTGCCTTTGATTTCCACGTGTGCTGAAAGTGGACACGCCACATACACTGTACACGTTTATCCTATTTCGTATATGCTGCCGTCTACGAGGTCCTGTGCTGTCGGCGAGTGGCTTTTGGAACTAAAGTAAAAAAGGCCTCTCTATTTGCAGGTCAGCCAACGCTGAAAGCCCTCCCAACTGCTGTGAAGCAAGGAAAATGTTATCGGTTGCTGGCTAAGCCCGACAACAAACAGGGACGGTGTTATCCTCTGAACTGCAGAGCCAGTGAGCCACCGACAGACCCGGGGGGGGGGGGGGGGGGGGGGGGGGGCTGGGGCATGATGGGAAACGGGAGCAAGGGCCAATGTGCTGTCTGCCACGGTGTCGAGGGCGACAGAAGTGGCTTTTGGGTAGGGTGACGAATCAATTTGCCTCCACTGACTGTGCACCGCCGGGGTGCTTACAGTACTTACCACTGGTTCAGGATGCAGGATGCCACCGCTGCCACCAGCGCACAGAGGAAATTGGATTTGCTAGTTTTTTTCTTATTTTTTCTTTAGTTTTTTAAATTTTTGATATTTTTTAATTTATATTATTATTATTTTTTTTTTATTTTTTTTTTTTAGGGGGAATGGATCAGCTTAATATTGCAGATAGATTGTATCTTCTATCAATGTAATTGTCTGCATCACTTCCAATCCCCCATGTTTTTTTTATTTTGTATATATATACTCCCCTTTATTACTTTTCAACCCCACCATCCTTTCCCTACTTGGAGTAAATTAGTGAACAACAATGCCCAGGCCTCTACTTCCGGTCTAAACTTACTATCTACACCTTATGGACACAGTTAATTTTACAATAATTCTATTATATATATTATTTATTTATTTTTTGCTCCTGAACTTCTTCTACTCTCAACCTCTCCGATCATTTTCATGATGTCCATCCGGTTTGCTTCTATATGCCATATCTTTCTAACTGTGCTCCTTCCCACAAGCTCCCAACATACAACCTATATACTTATTATGGACACAGTATGCTTACATTATTAGCTATCTTTGTTATTATTTGTTGTTATTTGTTATTAGTCCCATCCTTCAACTCTATTCAATACCTCCCATCTATCTCTTAACACCATCCATATAGGATTTCTATTTGCCATATATATTTCGACCGTACTGTGATGTTTTACAAAAATTCTAAACCTTTCTATTCTCATTGCTTCTACAGATTGTGAATTAAAAATAAACATTTTTGCTAAAAGTATTATTATATTATTGATTGATTGACTATGATTTTTCAGATCACCCAGTAATGCTATCTGCAAGGTTAGTTCCAGGTAAATATTGCAATCCTTTAGCCATTCCTGGACCTGTGTCCAAAAACAAGCTACAAATGGACAGAACCAAAACAAATGATCTAATGATTCTGTCTCTTCACAGCAAAACCTGCAGAGCTGGGAAGGTTGTATCCCCCATATAAATAACATTATATTGGTAGCAAGAATTGTATATAATAATTTATGCCATGGGATCGATACGTCAAAGATCTCTTCCCAACTATTTTGCATTCTATATGGGACGGCTGTCAATCCTTTGGTCCTTAAGTGAAACTGATATACTTTTTTATTTATCACAGTTTTCCTTAACCAATTATGTTCTTTAATGCAAGGCCGACAGACAAGTTCCTTAATGCAAGGCCCCCTTCCACTTTCCTCTTCCACTTTTGCGGTAAGGCTGCAATTATTTGGTTGTAATTTTGGGTAGAGCAGACATTTCCATATGTTTTGTTAGCTGCATGTGCGACATAACTCCACCAGTCCTACCGATGATATCATTTACGAAGATTATACCTTTTTTAAACATTCTGTCAAAAAAGAAAGGTTTTTTGTCAATTAGTATATTTGAATTTAACCACAATATTTGTTGCATTATTTGTTCTGTCGTTTCTGGAGGATTAAATTGAAATTGCAACCAACTTTCTATGGCTTGTTTTAGAAATAGTGACATTTGGGAGATTGTTTCCTTTTCAAATAACTGAAAGTGAGAGGTTGTAATCTGAATAAAGGGAAAAAGGCCTTTCTTGAACATTGGGTGAGACAATCTGGTTCAGGATGCAGGATGCCACCGCTGCCACCAGCGCACAGAGGAAATAGGATAGGCTAGTCTTTGTATGAGTTCCCTCAGGTTTGTCAAGCAGGGTTTTGGCAGAGTGATGGTGTGTCAGGTCATTATTGTAGGTCGGTTCGCCTAAATTCAAACTGTTTTGTTAAACAGTGATCACTTACATTTGTATTGAACAGATTATATCAATTGCACTTTTCAAAGAAGCACGATTTAGCCTAAGTGAGCGCTTTAAAGTGCTTCATGGGGTGCAAGAGTCGGTGTGTTTAGAAGCATCGCTGTGTGATTCAGCGTGCCGTCTTCTTGATCTCGGAATATGCGTTTTGATGTGTCTTGGCACCTTCCATGCTGCTCGTGCATCTTAATGTGTTAGCAGCAGGGGGAGGCTCCTTTCGCCACATGAATATTCGCTGCCGGTGTTTGTTCACGACTCAGCATTCTGTGGCTCCTATGGTGGCATGCAGGGCTCCGAATTAATAATCATACGTTTAACACAGACGTCAGACAGAAAACATGTAGGCTAGGGTCTATAATGGTTTATAGTCCTAACCTTGGATCTCTGATAGTTGCATGTTTAGGCTACCCTAGCATGTTTTGGCTATTTGACATGTGTTGTTAGTTAACACATACTATATTTGCAGTAGGGAAGAGTGGGGTATGTTGAGCCATTTTTTACATTCAGCATCACTACAGCAAGGGAAATATAGTATTCTTTCTAACATAGATATCTACATATATTTCAGGATGTGTATCCCTGGAAATAATCAGAATTCATGTAAACATAACCGTTTTGAAAACATAGCTTGTCCAAAAAAGTGGTCTCTTGGCACAACTATGGGGTAAGTTGAGTCTAGGGACAGGGTAAGTTGAGCCGCTTTGGGGTATGTCGGTGGTGGTGTTACGTGACAGTGGGTGCTGGTAGGTCAAAGTTTAATTCATGGAATGGGGGTGTGGTATATTGTATATCTAAATGTATGCCTACATTTAGATATAGAGCTCTCTGTTCAATATCACTTACCCTTCCATTTCTTGACCAGTTGTGTGGGACAGGGGACAGGGAGGATGTACCAATTTGTAGGCAAGTTCTCTGCATTTGAGGCTTCTAAGCCCATGAAACTGGTCTGCGAGATTCTTGATATGTTTAGCAAGCTCAGACTCCATGTCATCAGATAAGACCTTGTGTGCCTCTGGTACTCTATCATAGTCTCTCACACAGGTACTGTTGTTTTATTTTTTGTCAATGTACAGTGCATTCGGAAAGTATTCAGACCCCTTTACTTTTTCCACATTTTGTTACATTACAGCCTTATTCTGAAATTGATTAAATAAATAAAAATCCTCATCAATCCACACACAGTACCCCATAATGACAAAGCAAAAACAGGTTTTTATAAAAACCAGAAATACCTTATTTACATAAGTATTCAGACCCTTTGCTATGAGACTCGAAATTGAGCTCAGGTGCATCCTGTTTCCATTGATCATCCTTGAGATGTTTCTACAACTTGGAGTCCACCTGTGGTAAATTCAATTGATTGGACATGATTTGGAAAGTCACACACCTGTCTATATAAGGTCCCACAGTTGACAGTGCATGTCAGAGCAAAAACCAAACCATGAGGTCAAGGGAATTGCCCGTAGAGCTCAGAGACGACAGGATTGTGTCGAGGCACAGATCTGGGGAAGGGTACCAAAACATTTCTGCAGCATTGAAGGTCCCCAAGAACACAGTGGCCTCCATCATTCTTAAATGGAAGAAGTTTGGAACCACCAAGACTCTTCCTAGAGCTGGCCACACGGCCAAACTGAGCAATCGGGGGAGAAGGGCCTTGGTCAGGGAGGTGACCAAGAACCCGATGGTCACTCTGACAGAGCTCTAGACTTCCTCTGTGGAGATGGGAGAACCTTCCAGAAGGACTGCAGCTCTCTACTAATCAGGCCTTTATGGTAGAGTGGCCAGATGGAAGCCCATGACAGCCCACCTAAAGGACTCTAAGACCATGAGAAACAAGATTCTCTGGTCTGATAAAACCAAGATTGAACTCTTTGGCCTGAATGCCAAGAGTCACGTCTGGAGGAAACCTGGCACCATCCCTACGGTGAAGCATGGTGGTGGCAGCATCATGCTGTGGGGATGTTTTTCGGCGGCAGGGACTGGGAGACTAGTCAGGATCGAGGGAAAGATGAATGGAGCAAAGTACAGAGAGATCCTTGATGAAAACCTGCTCCAGAGCGCTCAGGACTTCAGACTGGGGTGAAGGTTCACCTTCCAACAGGACAATGACCCTAAGCACACTGCCAAGACAACGCAGGAGTGGCTTCGGGACAAGTCTCTGAATGTCCTTGAGTGGCCCAGCCAGAGCCTGGACTTGAATCCGATCGAACATCTCTGGAGAGACCTGAAAATAGCTGTGCAGCGACTCTCCCCATCCAACCTGACAGAGCATGAGAGGATCTGCAGAGAAGAATGGGAGAAACTCCCCAAATACAGATGTGCCAAGCTTGTAGCGTCATACCCAAGAAAACTCTAGGCTGTAATCGCTGCCAAAGGTGTTTCAACAAAGTACTGAGTAAAGGGTCTGAATAGTTATATAAATGTGATATTTCCATTTTTAAATTTGCACACATTTCTAAAAACCTGCTTTTGCTTTGTCATTATGGGTATTGTGTGTAGATTGATGAGGGGAAAAAATACATGTAATCCATTTTTCGAATAAGGCTGTAACGTAACAAAATTTGGAAAAAGTCAATGGGTCTGAATACTTTCCGAATGCACTGTACCTCTACAGTGTCATTCAGTCTATTTGTTCATCCCTTGCTGTTGCCCGAATGGACTTCTTCCCTTCTCGCTGCTCTCTGAAGAACCTCAAGGGGGGCCAGACCCCTGCTTGTTTTACATTTGTAACACGGGGCATGATGATGTCTGCTCTGTAACAATACAAATGCACTATCTTTAGTTCATATGCATGACACATTGCAACAAAAATGCATATTATGCTTAAAACTAACCAAATGTAATAATAATTTGTATGGGGTATGGTGGCCATTGGCTCAACTTACCCCAAGGCAAACATTTTGACTATATTAGCCCACACAGCTACAAAGGTGCACTTTCATCCTAGGTTTAGGATCTCATATTGTAGCTTATAGAGAGCCCAACTGATAAACAAAACAATATTAAAACGATCTACTTTGGTTTAGATATAAGCATCATGAAACCTATAACAATACATTTATTTAACTTTGTGAAAATCTGTTTTTTGGACCTAACTTGCTTACCACTTTTTCCATGTGTTTTTTGTCCTTCACAGCCTCCATGAAATGATGACCTCTTCCAAAATATTTGGTCACATGATACATTTTGTGTATGGCGTCCTAGAAACAAGGGGTGGCTCATTTAACCCTTTGGCTGAACTTACCCCACATTCCTCTATATTGTGGGGATTTCCAGACTGCAGCCAACATACATGTTTTCTCTCAGTGTGGTGACTTAGTCTTGTCTTGACTAGTCTTGATGCCAGTATGATAATACACTTGTTCAGCCTTCTCCTCTCCAAGCAAATGTATCGTGCTCGTACTAAGGCCATTAACTTACTTCATCAGATTCTACTGATCCTTGTGTGTTTCTCAGCTGGACTTTTGTGTAACCTCTGTCACTTTTAGAGTTTAAGGGTAATGTTTTATATCTCTCTGACTTTTAGAACGTGGTGAACTTCGTGGACGACAGCTTCCCTCCCGGCCCGCGATCCGTTGGCTTCCCCGAGGGCGACAGCGTCCAGCAGCGAATCAAAAAGTGGCTCCGCCCTCACGAGATCAATTGCAACAACTTCAAGGACCGGGGCGTCAAATGGTCTGTCTTCCGCACCCCTCGGCCCTCAGACATCCTGCAAGGCCTGCTGGGAAATTGTTGGTGAGTTGTCATCATTGAACGTTTGCAGCGTCGTAGTATCTGTAGCTCAACTGTGTGTGTGTGTGTCCGCGTGAGTCTGTGTGGGTACCAAACTGTGTACTACCTTCCTTAAACAGTGTGTGTGTGCATGCTTGTGTGTCATAGTGTATACACTGGGCCTGCGTGTTCGGTGTGCCTGCTGTGCTTGTTAGAAACAGTGTTTGTCTCTGCTCTCCCTGGTTTATTACTAAGGTGTTTCTGAATGAATAAACCGACTCCCCTCTGCATGTGAGAGAGAGGTGATCTCTCAACGCTCGTCTTAAAGGTCAGTGGGAGAGAATAAATAAACACACTGGTGGCCCGGGTTGTTCATCATTGAAAAATGAATATAGATGTACTCCCTGGGCCTAAAGTAGAGCGAGAGAGAGAAAGGGAGGGAGGGAGAGTGAGGGGGGGTGCTAAAGAGAGAGAGAAGGAGCTAGAGGGAGGGAGGGAGCGAGTGAAAGAGGTAGGGATAAATAAATAGATAGAAAGAGAAGATCGAGAAAGAGCTGGGAAGAGAGAAGGAGTATGAATAAAGAGTGGAGAGAGGGGAAGAGAGAGGAGGGGTGAGGCGGCCAGATGTACTGATACAGCACCTGACTGGGGGATTATTCAGAGGAATGTAGGTCTGGACACATTTTATCTCCACGCCCTTGTTTTGGGTGTCCTTGGGGCCTGTGTAGTCATTCCTACACACACACACACACACACACACACACACACACTCTTATTCACTCATTATCTCTCTCTCTCACACGCACACACACACACACTCATTCTCATACACTTTTTACTCTCAAATACAGACACACACACACACACACACGCAGCCGCTTATCAAAAATAACCCTCCCTAGGCACCCCTTCACTCGCTCTCACACTACAGGAAGTAACCCAATTCCCATTCTGAATCCCACCCTAGTCACATTTACAGTCCATGTTACACATCCCCAGCCACGCAACCACGTCAAATCGCATACCGTCACATCAACCCACCCTTGAGCGGCCGGAGAGGCTAGAAACACGACCCGTCATAGTCCAGCGTTCTTGTCGCTATGCCCAAAGTAATTGGATTTTGATTCAATTATTTTTATCTGATTTGCATTGATTGGATTTGCATGGGGTTGAATGGCCAGATCGGCCACGCTTGTCTAGCACTGTACCCGGAGCAGACAGGGAGATAGAGTTATTATTGAAAATGTCTCGTTGAGATGATACTAGAATATCATGCAGAGCCCCTCTTGAGACAGATTCTCTAGCTCGAGAACGCATGCTCACACAGACACACACATACACACATACAGTGAGTGCTTGTTGAGTAAGGCCTCAAATGAAGGGGCTCAGCACTAGGAAGGATAGATTAGTAGAAGATCTCCTGCATTCCATAACCTCACTCTAGTCTGCTTCCTCTCAATGTTGTCCTCCTACATCTGGAGTTTGTCCTGGCTTCTGTCACCTTGCGTTGCTCTTTTAGGGGTTGAGGTTGGTGGCAAGTCAACCATCAATTTATAAAAGTACAGAAGCTGAGCTTCAAAGTGGCGTATCATACACTGCAGTTGGAGGAAACATGGGGAAGTTATGCTGCTTTGAAATGTGATAAACTTGTTATGCCACTTTGGAGACGAGTAGGAGAAAAATACCTTGAATGATTTTCGCACTTCTATAGAGAGCTCTTCTTTGTTTACGACCCATTCAGAATCATTCACACCCTCTTAAGCCTCACCCATCTCTTTCAGAATTCACATGTAAACGCCTGAGTCAGCATGGCATTGTCCTCCAGAAGGAAGTCTATTATCCATTATCTCAGCCAATCATGGGTCCTGCCTTTCTCCCTACATAGCTCAGTGCTTTTTTCCTTGGCTAAACTAGGCTCATAATAAAAGGCATATTAAGGCATATGAAAGTTCACATGTTCAAGGCATTTCAGCCCTACTGTGAAGTTGGAAATAGCGTAAAAACCCTACAGTCCGGAATCCTGTCATAAATGTGATTAATTACTTATATTGACTGACTGACTTATACTAACTTACTTACTTATGACCTTCTTGTCTGCCTGCCTTAGTCTCAAAAATCTGGTTTCAATTATAAACTATTTTGGTGGCGCAGCGGTCTAAGGCACTGCATCGCAGTGTTGAGGCGTCACTACAGCCTGGGGTTCGATCTCTGGCTGTGTCACAGCCGGCCGTGACCGGGAGTCCCATAGGGCGGCACACAATTGGCCCAGCGTCGTCCGGGTTAGGGGAAGGTTTCGGCCGGGGGTGCTTTCCTTTGCTCATCGCGCTCTAGCGACTCCTTGTGGCGGGCCATGAGCCTGCAAGCTGACTTCAGTCGTCAGTTGAACAGTGTTTCCTCCGACACATTGGTGCGGCTGGCTTCTGGGTTAAGCAAGCGGGTGTTAAGAAGCAGCGCAGCTTGGCAGGTCATGTTTCGGAGGACGCATGACTCGACCTTCGCCTCTCCCGAGCCCGTTGGGGAGTTGCAGCGATGAGACAAGATCGCAATTGGATATCACGAAATTGGGGAGAAAAAGGGGGTCAAATTACCATAAACTAAAATAAAATGTATGGACTCTAATTTATCCACACTAATTTATCCGCTTGAATAAAATAGTAGCTATGAAGATGGAGAACATGGAGGTTATTATTAATGAGTGCATTTCGCAAGTGGCTCGTTTGCATCAACTACCTTAACTAAAACCACTGTAAAGGTTGTGCCTGAAAGCACGAACCACCGCATTTAACCATGGCAAGGTGACTGGGAATATGGTTGAATACGAACTGTGTAGTTATTCCCTCCGTAAGGCAATCAAACAGGCAAAACGTCAGTACAGAGACAAATTGGAGTCGCAATTCAACGGCTCACACACAAGATGTATGTGGCAGGGTCTACAGACAATCACAGATTACAAAGGGAAAACCAGCCACGTCGCGGACACCGAAGTCTTGCTCCCAGACAAGCTAAACACCTTTTTCGCCCGCTTTAAGGATAACACAGTGCCACCGACGCGGCCCGCTCCCAAGGACTTTGGGCTCTCGTTCACCGTGGCCGACGTGAGTAAGATATTTAAGCATGTTTTCCCTCGCAAGGCTGCCGACCCAGACGGCATCCCTAGCCGCGTCCTCAGAGCATGCGCAGACCAGCTGGCTTGAGTGTTTACGGACATATTCAATCTCTCTCTATCCCAGTCTGCTGTCCCCACTTGCTTCAAGATGTTCACCATTGTTCCTGTACCCAAGAAAGCAAAGGTAACTGAACTAAATGACTATCGCCCCGTAGCACTCACTTCTGTCATCATGAAGTGCTTTGAGAGGCTAGTTAAGGATCATATCACCTCTACCTTACCTGACACCCTAGACCAACTTCAATTTGCTTACCGCCCCAATAGATCCACAGACGATGCAATCGCCATCGCACTGCACACTGCCCTATCCCATCTGGACAAGAGGAATACCTACCTCAGTATGCTGTTCATTGACTATAGCTCAGCCTTCAACACCATAGTACCCTCCAAACTCATCATTAAGCTCGGGGCCCTGGGTCTGAACACCGCCCTGTACAACTGGGTCCTGGACTTCCTGACGAGCCGCCCCCAGGTGGTGAAGGTGGGAAACAACACCTCCACTTCGCTGATCCTCAACACTGGGGCCCCACAAGGGTGCGTGCTCAGCCGCCTCCTGTACTCCCTGTTCACCCATGACTGCGTGATCAAGCACGCCTCCAACTCAATCATCAAGTTTGCAGACGACACAACAGTAGTAGGCCTGATTAACAAAAATGATGAGACAGCCTACAGGGAGAAGGTGAGGGCCCTGGCAGAGTGGGGCCAGGAAAAATAACCTCTCTCTCAACGTCAACAAAACGAAGGAGCTGATCGTGGACTTCAGGAAACAGATGTGGATAGGGAGCTCGCCCCTATCCACATCGACAGGACCGCAGTGGAGAAGGTGGAAAGCTTCAAGTTCCTCTGCGTACACATCACTGACAGTCTGAAATGGTCCACCCACACAGACAGTGTGGTGAAGAAGGCGCAACAGCCTCAGGAGGCTGAAGAAATTCGGCTTGGCTCCTAAGACCCTCAGAAACTTTTACAGATGCACAATTGAGAGCATTCTGTCGGGCTGTATCGCCGCCTGGTACGGCAACTGCACCGCCCGCAACCTCAGGGCTCTCCAGAGGGTGGTGCGGTCTACCCAATGCATCACTGGAAGCACACTGCCTGCCCTCCAGGACACCTACAGCACCCGATGTCACAGGAAGGCCAAAAAGATCATCAAGGACAACAACCACCCGAGCCACGTTCTCTTCACCCCGCTATCATCCAGAAGGCGAGGTCAGTAGAGGTGCATCAAAGTTGGGACCGAGAGACTGAAAAACAGCTTCTATCTCAAGGCCTGCAGACTGTTAAATAGCCATCACTAGCAGGGGTACCACCGGGCTACTCAACCCTGCACCTTAGAGGCTGCTGCCCTATATACATAGACCTGGAATCACTGGCCACTTTAATAATGGAATACTAGTCACTTTAATAATGTTTACATACTGCTTTATTCATCTCATATGTATATACTGTATTCTATTCTACTGTATTTAGTCAATGCCACTCTGACGTTGCTCGTCCTAATATTTATATATTCCTTAATTCCATTATTTTACTTTTAGATTTGTGTATTGTTGTGAATTGTCAGATACTACTGCACTGTTGGAGCTAGGAACACAAGCATTTCGCTACATCCGCAATAACATCTGCTAAATATGTGTATGTGACCAATACGATTTGATTTTATTTAAACTTTGGTATTGAATCACAAAGTTCTGGCATGTCTGCCTTGTGATTTGTTGGGATAGTCCCCAGAATTTTGTTTCTCCCCTTATTGACGTAGGCAGTGCCAAAAGAGTCCATCATTGAAACCAGACCCTAGTCACTGTGTTGCCTTGGGTCGGGTTTTCAAGACTATGCCTGCCTGACTTACTGACTGGTTATCTCGTTGCTGCCTCCTGTAGGTTCCTGAGTGCGTTGGCGGTGCTGGCGGAGCGTCCAGAGCTGGTGGAGAGGGTGATGATCACCAGGGGGATCTGCCAGGAGGGGGCCTACCAGGTCAGGCTTTGTAAGGATGGTACCTGGATCACCGTGCTGGTGGACGACATGCTTCCCTGCGATGAGTACGGATACCTGCTCTTTTCCCAGGTAAGGGGTGGGACACCACACACTCACGCGCACGGATGTATTATGCATTAAATACAAAAATTTAATGGTCCTTCATTGCTTTTGTGAACTCTGAATGTTTTCTTCCCTGTATGTTCATTGCATTGCAAGGTTATTCACTGCTCATTAATTTGACCTCTTCTCGCTCTCTCTCTGTCTCTCTCTGTCTCTCTCTCTCTCTCTCTCTCTCTCTCTCTCTCTCTCTCTCTCTCTCTCTCTCTCTCTTCTATCCCATTCCCTCTCCTTCTATCCCCATCCTTCCTTCTCTCTACTCTTCTCCCTCTCCCTTGCGCTCTCTCTCTGTCTCGCTCCCCTTTCCTACTGTTCTCCCTCCCTAGCCTTCTCCATCGCTCCCTTCCCTCTGACCCTTCCCTGACCTTTCTCCATCCTCCACTTGCCCTCGTATCCCTTCACTACCTTTCTCCATCACCCACGGCCCGCACCCCGGCACGACCGGGCGCATCACCACGGCCCGCGACCCCTGGCACGACCTGGCGCCAGCCCACTGCCCGCGAGCCCCGGCACGACCTGCTCCAGCCGCCACGGCCCCTATCCCCGGCACGACCGGGCTCCAGCAGCCTACGGCACCGCAGCCCCGGCACGATCGGCGCCAGCCGCCACGCCCGAGCCGCAGACCGGGCCAGCTGCCGCTCGGATCCCCGCACACCGCTCCAGCATCCACGGCCCTCGAGCCCCGTCACTACCGGGCGCCAGCATCCACGTCCCGCTACCCCGGCACGACCTGGCCCAGCAGCCACGGCCCGCAGCCCCGGCACGACCTGGGCCCAGCCGCCACGTGCCCCGAGGCCCTGCACGACCGTGTCGCCATCCTCCACTTCCCTCTATCCCCCTTCACTATACCTTTCTCCATCCCTCCACTTCCCTCTATCCCCTTCACTACCTTTCTCCATCATCCACTTCCCTCTATCCCCTTCACTACCTTTCTCCATCCTCCACTTCCCTCTATCCCCTTCACTACCTTTCTCCATCCTCCACTTCCCTCTATCCCCTTCACTACCTTTCTCCATCCTCCCTACTTCACCACCTCTATCCCCCTCTGCCTCTCACTATCCCTCTTTTCTTCTCTCTGTCTTTCCTTCCTCCCTTTCTCCATCCCCCTTTTTCTTCCTCCTTCCTCTCTCTCGCCAGGCTCAGCGTAAGCAACTCTGGGTGGCCCTGATAGAGAAGGCCCTGGCCAAGCTCCATGGCTCCTACTTTGCCCTGCAGGCGGGGCGCGCCATCGAGGGCCTGGCCACGCTGACGGGGGCACCGTGTGACTCCCTGATGCTGCAGGTCAGCTCCACCAACCCCCGCGAGGAGCCCATCGACACGGACCTCATCTGGGCCAAGATGCTCAGCTCTAAGGAGGCCGGGTAAGGGGGATAGAGGAGGTTTGTCTTCGGAGAAAGTCGATAATGCTGTGTAGATGTATCATGATGTGCACAGATGGCACGAGGTATGAAGTAGTTTCTCAAGAGTCTAGGTCAAGAACAAGTCCATTTATTTGAAAAGACATGAAGAGGCCTATTGAATGGACCCTGATTCAGCCTACTCCTTGACTAACAAGCATGTTCAATGGAGAATGCTTTTTAGTCCAGGAGGAGGCTTATATCTGGGTCCACTTTGGCAACCACCCCCAAGAGTTTAAGGTGACACGTGATCAATGTTCCCTCAACAAATTTTCGGCACTGAGCAAATTTCAGGTCTGCTAAGCGCAACAATTCTGTGCAACTTCCAGCGCGTGTTTACTGTGAACACTGAGGCTGTACCCGCTTTAAGTTACAGTTTTAACAGTGGCCATGTAGGCTACTGTGGCTATTTTATCATAGCGTAGGCCTACCAGAGTGGCCTAACATAAAAAACAATGGAGAAAATGCATCCCATAACATTTTAACATGGAAATAGCAGCCAATGTGTGGTGGTCAATGTAGGCGTACATTCCATGAGACTTTTGAGAAAAAAAACACGCAGTGCTTGACATTAACCTGTTTATCCACTTATCCAAAATGTTGTTGTGTTGTTTGATGCAAGAAACCACTTTACAAAATAAAATGCATTATTATTCCCATAACATTATTACAGAGAATCAGACAAATTATGCTACCCAATGCCTATTGGCTACTTAGCTTATTCATTCCTGTCTCAAAATACAACACTGCCCCATTAAGACAGAAAAAAAAGCTCTTTACCTGACTCGCTTTTCAAAGATGTCTAGAAATGTGTACGCTTGGTGCTCTTGTAGGAAGCAATCACTTACATTTGACATTTTAGTCATTTAGCAGACGCTCTTATCCAGAGCGACTTACAGTTAGTGAGTGCATACATTTTCATACTGGCCCCCCGTGGGAAACGAACCCACAACCCTGGCGTTGCAAGCGCCATGCTCTACCAACTGAGCTACACTCCCCTATTGCTGACTACAAATGATCTATAACTCCCTAACTAGCAAAGGATAAGAACAAAATGTGCACACGTGGTTACATGCAGCTCTCGCTTTGATCTCAAAACATGCGGATCTACTCACGACCGCTCATGCTGTAAACACAGTCCAGTTCAAAGTAAATGGCACAGATCCATATATGGCAATGGTCTATTTGCATATAGGCCTTCTGCAGCTCTGATTGTTTTTGCCGCACCGGTCTGTGTAGAGTACTGGCTGAGTAGTGCGTGTCAATGCAATAGAATCTACAACAACATCTCTTGCATAGTTCGTTTTGTTTCGGTATGTTGCATTAAAGTGGCTAATATTGCATTGATTCGATCACAATTGCCACAGTAAAGGGAAACGTTGATGGTGTTAACAGGGAAAACTGTAGAACAGTGGTAACCAACCTTTTCTGAGTCAAGATCACTTTGAGTCAAAATGCAAGCCGAGATCTACCGCTCAGAATATTTGTTTTACATGACTTAAAAACGAAAGCCTATGCAACATCAACTAATTAAAACAGTACTGTAGCAATGAGTTTTGTGCAGTAAGCTATAGGCCCAATACCTTATCACCGCATATTGGCTTTGCTTGAATTACCCTGACAATGCATTGTTGTTCGGGCCATAAAAAATAAAAAAAAAGACGTACGCTACTTGATCGCACCGGTGATAGATCTGTTGTTGTATTACTTGTGAAGCACAGCTGAGTGAGCATACATTTAAATAATGTGCTTTTTATTTTTATTTTACTGGGCTGATGGTGCCTGCATCTGATGGTCAGTCTCAGCGGAGAGAGAGAGAGCAGTAGACTGATGGTCCGCCTCTCAACATCCCTCCTCTCTCCCTTTCCTCCACTGACACTGACCAAAAAGGGACACCGTCTTCCAGATTATGGCGAAACTCAAGTCGCACCGCATGATTTCTGCCTCATGCACAAATTAATGTTGTTTAATCCTATATTCTATATTCCGTGATATTAAAAAAGACCCAAGCCGCTAATTATAACAACGCAAGCCTATCGATACACTTTCCTACTCATTCATTACTGCTGCAGTGCTTGTTGTAGTGGAAATAGAAAGAATGCGCATTTTATGGCTTATACAAGTGTTGAAAGCAGCATCTCTTTGCTGTATTCATTGACATTCTCTCTAGTCATGGTTTTAAACGTTTTGATATCTCACAGTATCAGCTTTGCTGTAGTTTTCTTTTATGCCTGCTACGTTACTGCAGACACAGTCATCTGAGTCGTCCGATTGGCCAGCGGTAGGCCTATAGTGCACTTGATTTTCCGGTCTGCCGGGAAGGCAGAGTTTGTACCTTCAGACACGTGAAATGGTTCAAAATGACAACAGTTCGCCTACCTGGTGTGCAGGCAGCTGAATCGTTGCACCTACCGCCAACAGACAAAAATAATAATAATAGGAACACAAGGCTTTATCGTTGTGTTTTTTACAGAAATGTTTGGCGATCAACTAGGAATGCCTTGGAGATCGACCGGTCAATCGCGATCGACCGGTTGGTGACCACTGCTCTAGAAAGTTGAGTGAAGTTCAATCTTGTGCTTCTCTCTGTGGGCTGATATTTCTGCACGGCAGTCCCGGGGAGCTTCGCAGCAGTCTCAAGGCCACTGCGCGCGCGTGCATCTTAGAGGGAACATTGCACATAATGGAAATGGGACCCCAACTCATTAGAATGTATCTCTATCAATGTTCTGTGTGCGGTGGGTAGGTTTCTAATGGGGGCGTCATGCGGAGGAGGGAACATGAAGGTGGATGATGTGATGTATGAGTCGTTGGGCCTCCGCCCTCGCCACGCCTACTCTATCCTGGACGTACGGGACGTACAGGGCTACAGGTGAGAGCCGATTGGGTTACTAGTGGGAGCTGGTTTTGGCTAATTGGTCAAAAGTGTTAAGGGGGTGGGGCTATACGTTATTGGTGAGAAGGGCCATGTCTCTTTTTCAGATTCCTGTCATTGTGTCCTTTCCATTATTGCCACGGGTAGTTGTAAGAAACTTATCGAACCCTGATAAGTGTCCTTCAGTTTTTCAGTCCCAATTCAATTGCATTTTTTTTGCTCTCTCTCTGCCGCTCAGACTACTGCGGTTGAGGAACCCATGGGGACGCTTCTCGTGGAATGGCAGCTGGTCAGACGAGTGGCCTGATTGGCCACAGCACCTCCGCCATGAGCTCATGGCCCATGGCAGCAGCGAGGGTGTCTTCTGGATAGAGTACGGAGACTTCATCAAGTAGGTCCCGTCTCAATGCACCAATGCGTCTCAATGTGTTTGTCTGTTAGTATTTCACGGAATACCGAAACTCCTGTACTTTTTTTACATTTACATTAACATTTACATCATTTAGCAGACGCTCTTATCCAGAGCGACTTACAAATTGGTGCATTCAACATATGATAGCCAGTGGGACAACCACTTGTATTTATTTTTTATAAAGTGGAGGAGGGGGGTGGGGGTAGAAGGATTACTTTATACTATTCCAGGTATTCCTTATAGATGTAGGGTTTCAAGTGTCTCCGGAAGGTGGTCAGTGACTCCGCTGTCCTGGCGTCGTGGGGGAGCTTGTTCCACCATTGGGGTGCCAGAGCAGCAAATAGCTTTGACTGTGCTGAGCGGGAACTGTGCTTCCGTAGAGGTAGGGGAGCTAGCAGGACAGAGGTGGATGAACGTAGTGCCCTCGTTTGGGTGTAGGGTCTGATTAGAGCCTGAAGGTAAGGAGGTGCCGTTCCCCTCACAGCTCCGTAGGCAAGCACCATGGTCTGTTAGTAGATGCGAGCCTCAAATGGAAGCCAGTGGAGTGTGCGGAGGAGCAGGGTGACATGAGAGAACTTGGGAAGGTCGAACACCAGACGGGCTGCAGCGTTCTGGATAAATTGTAGGGGTTTAATGGCACAGGCAGGGAGCCCAGCCAACAGCGAGTTGCAGTAATCCAGACGGGAGATGACAAGTGCCTGGATTAGGACCTGTGCCGCTTTCTGTGTAAGGTAGGGTCGTACTCTGCGAATGTTGTAGAGCATGAACCTGCAGAATCGGGTCACCGCTTTGATGTTAGCGGAGAATGACAGGGTGTTGTCCAGGGTCACGCCAAGGTTCTTTGCACTCTGGGAGGAGGACACAATGGAGCGGGCAGTCCTTACCCGGGAGGAAGAGCAGCTCCGCCTTGCTGAGGTTCAGCTTGAGGTGGTGATCCGACATCCACACTGATATGTCTGTCAGACATGCAGAGATGCGATTCGCCACCTGGTTATCAGAAGGGGGAAAGGAGAAAATTAATTGTGTGTCGTCTGCGTAGCAATGATAGGAGAGACCATGTGAGGATATGACAGAGCCAAGTGACTTGGTGTATAGAGATAATAGGAGAGGGCCTAGAACTGAGCCCTGGGGGACACCAGTGGTGAGAGCACGTGGTGCGGAGACAGATTCTCGCCACGCCACCTGGTAGGAGTGACCTGTCAGGTAGGACGCAATCCAAGAGTGAACAGCGCCGGAGATGCCCAACTCGGAGAGGGTGGAGAGGAGGATCTGATGGTTCACAGTATCAAAGGCAGCGGATAGGTCTAGAAGGATAAGAGCAGAGGAGAGAGAGTTAGCTTTAGCAGTGCGGAGAGCCTCCGTGACACAGAGAAGAGCAGTCTCAGTTGAATGACCAGTCTTGAAACCTGACTGGTTTGGATCAAGAAGGTCATTCTGAGAGAGATAGCAGGAGAGTTGGCTAGAGACGGCACGCTCAAGAGTTTTGGAGAGAAAAGAAAGAAGGGATACTGGTCTGTAGTTGTTGACATCGGATGGATCGAATATAGGTTTTTTGAGGAGGGGTGCAACTCTCACTCTCTTGAAGACGGAAGGGACATGGCCAGCGGTCAAGGATGAGTTGATGAGCGAGGTGAGGTAAGGGAGAAGGTCTCCGGAAATGGTCTGGAGAAGAGAGGAGGGGATAGGGTCAAGCAGGCAGGTTGTTGGGCGGCTGGCCATCACAAGTCGCAAGATTTCATCTGGAGAGAGAGGGGAGAAAGAAGTCAAAGCATAGGGTAGGGCAGTGTGAGCAGGACCAGCGGTGTCATTTGACTTAATAAATGAGGATCGGATGTCGTCAACCTTCTTTTCAAAATGGTTGACGAAGTCATCCACAGAGAGGGAGGAGGGAGGGGGAGGAGGAGGAGGATTCAGCAGGGAGGAGAAGGTGGCAAAGAGCTTCCTAGGGTTAGAGGCAGAGGCTTGAAATTTAGAGTGGTAGAAAGTGGCTTTAGCCATGGAAACAGAGGAAGATAATGTAGAGAGGAGGGAGTGAAAAGATGACAGGTCCGCAGGGAGTCTAGTTTTCCTCCATTTACGCTCGGCTGCCCGGAGCCCTCTTCTGTGAGCTCGCAATGAGTCGTCAAGCCACGGAGCAGGAGGGGAGGACCGAGCCGGCCGGGATGATAGGGGACATAGAGAGTCAAAAGATTCAGAAAGGGAGGAGAGGAGGGTTGAGGAGGCAGAATCAGGAGATTGGAGGGAGAAGGATTTAGCAGAGGGAAGAGATGATAGGATGGAAGAGAAGAGAGTAGCGGGAGAGAGAGAGCGAAGGTTGCGACGGCACATTACCATCTGAGTAGGGGCAGAGTGAGTAGTGTTGGAGGAGAGCGAGAGAGAAAATGATACTAAGTGGTGGTCGGAGACTTGGAGGGGAGTTGCAGTGAGATTAGTAGAAGAACAGCATCTAGTAAAGATGAGGTCAAGCGTATTTATTGCCTTGTGAGTAGGGGGGGACGGTGAGAGGGTGAGGTCAAAAGAGGAAAGGAGTGGAAAGAAGGAGGCAGAGAGAAATGAGTCAAAGGCTTAGGGAGGTTAAAGTCACCCAGAACTGTGAGGGGTGAGCCATCCTGAAAAACGGTTCGGTACTATCATTTTTGTTAGTTTAGGTACTTCTGTCAAATGTGTCTCACGGATCAACTCTGTCTATCAGCGCAGCCGATGTCCCCCTTTTAGCACTGTGCCTGCTCCACTTTGTCTGCACTGGGAGTCTGGGCTGCATCATGGGAGCTCCCCAGCTGGGCTGCACAGAAGTTAACACACTTGAATAATGCGACACGGCATGTAGAAATGTTGAAACTGTTAATTACTGTTTGCAAAACAATGTCCATACAGGCTAGAACACTTTACAATATGAGAAGGTACCGGTAGTTTCCAGCTTTGTAGGCACACTTTTCTTGCTAGCTTACAGCTAAAGCTATCACCAATTCACTACCCTGGTACTTTGTGATAATATGCAAACCATAATGCAAAATATGCTGATTTCAAAGCTGAATGCCACCAAAAACGTTATTAATTCACTTAATCGGTCTCTCTCTCAGGTCTCTCCCAAAGATGATGTAGGCCGTCATTGTAAATAAGAATTTGTTCTTAACTGACTTGCCTAGTTAAATAAAGGTAAAATAAAATAAATAAAAATGATCTATTGCCTCAGCCAACTGACTCTGGGCTGCCCCCCCCCCTCTTGCCTGATGAATGATGTCATTACTTGTTAAAGAGACAGCGCACACTTTTATAAAATAAGCTACATCTATGCAAATGTTGATCAGGACAATAAAATAAGCCCAAAATGGAAGGGAAACAGATTGTTTGTCATCTGTAGCCCCATGAAATCAGCCAAAACAAGCTCAATAACTCAATGCATGCACACACTCCTATTGAATATCTATCTATTCAGCTGTATTGTGGATAGGCCTAGGCTACATCTTAATTTACCCAGTTTATCAATAGAGATTTACCATTCAAATAAATGATTACCATTATGTAGTTAGATTGGTAAAAACAAAGTCAAATTGATTGTATGATTGATTCATTAATGCATACATGGCTGTCTCTGAAAAATGTTGACTTAAAAATGTCCAATGTTAAGATGTTGAACTCAAAAGATGCCCAACAATTGAACAAAGCAGTACCTAGGTTTATCTGTCTGAATCAAGTGCCATTCTGTGACTTTGGTTAATATGCCTTCTTTTTTTTTTTAAGTGGTATCGTTTTGGTATTAAATATCGTGATGGTAACGTGAATCGTGATACTAAACCTGGTATCAGAATCAAAGTCAAAATTCTGGCATCGTGACAACACTACTGTCTGTCTGTCTATATACTGTATCTGAAAGAAGAGGGAAGGAACACAGTAGCTAACTCTGCTCAGCATACCGCAAGGTAAAGGGTATAGATGGGCATGGTTATTTGAATATTCAAATATCCGACTGACATTATTATTCAATTACTTGGGAGAGTATTCCTTTTTGAGAAGAAAATAAATAGGCCAATAATAATTATTTTTAAGGCGTCTGAGAAATCACCTGTGACTAACGTACGTAATCAGTGTAATTTTGTAAATGGTGGATCTCTATGGCAAGACTCATCATTCACCCAAGTTTCGTCAAAATAGGCCCAGTGGTGACTGAGATATTGCGTGGGTTAGCAAAACTCATATCCCTGAGCATGTGTGCCAAATTTCATCACTCTGAGTCAAACAGATCAAGAGATATAAACATGTGCCCGTTATAGCGCCACCGTGGGGTTGATATGAGACTCGAAATTGAGCTCCGGTGCATCCTGTTTCCATTGATCATCCTTGAGATGTTTCTACAAATGTCTAAAAACCAGTTTTTGCTTTGTCATTATGGGGTATTGTGTGTAGAATGATGAATAAAAATACAATTTAATTCACTTTAGAATAAGGCTGTAACGTAACAAAGTGGAAAAAGTCAAGGGGTCTGAATACTTTCCGAAGGCACTGTATATATATATTCTTTAAAACATGTACTGTATTTCGACTACCCGGATAGCCGAAAAAATATCATGATATTATTTGAATAGTGAAATAATTTCAAATGCCCATCCCTAGTAAAGGGTACATGACAAACAAATACTGAAGGGAAGTCCTCACAGCGTTTAACAGATGTAGCCTAGTAGTTTAACTAAGAACACCACAGTACACTCTGGTTTCAAAGCTTTTTCTCTTCCACCTCCACCCTCTTATCCCTCTCTTCTTCTGGGAAGACGAAAGTGAGGAGCAGACAGATGACAAAGCCGGGGGGGGGGGGGGTGATAAAACGGTGAAAAACAGACTGAGAGGAAAAGAGGGTGAGTCAGTCACTGGTTGGGTCTCTGGGGGCGGTCGCTTTGAAGCAGAGCCATTTTTATTAGCAAGCCAAATGTTTACGTACCGGTACCACAAGACGAGAGAGGGATGATTGGTAAACATACCGGAGGAGGGGGGGGGGGGGGGAGTAAGGTGGAGAAAGGTAAAGGGTTGGCTTTGATCTGTATAAATACATTTGAATCGTGTGTGCGTGTGAACGACTGGAATGTCAGGTCAGAGGGTGGTCTTCCGAGTTGGGTGTCTGTCAAAGTTATCGGGAAAACATCAACTTGTAAGAGAGGGAGAGGAAAGGATGTCAAGATAGCTCATGCCTTAAGAAGTCAAATGAAGGAGCTGTCTTTCAGAAGACTTTGTGCTGATCAAAGATGGGGCTTATTGGAGTATTGCCGTGAGGGTGTGTATGCATCTATGTGCTCTTTTGATACAGTATAGCTTTCACGTAAAGTTACTGTGTAGGAAGGGAGTCCTGTCATGGCATGCAGCAGCCGTGTGCATGTGTGTGAGTGTTTGTGTGTTTGTTTGTGGGCTGATGTGAACAGATGTTGCAGAGGCGCATCACAGCTTGAATTTCTAATTGGGCCTAACACAGCTACTTGTGGTGCACCACACTGCTAGTTTTAGTCAATCACACACTGCTATTAACCCTATCAAGGGACTATGGTTTTATTGTTGGCCCAAAACATCAAAATCGACAATCTTTACAGATTTCATCATATGATGTCAGCACGTGTTGTATCGAAATTCGTAGAACAGATATTGTATGTTTATTTTCTGGGTAGCTTTTCTTTGGCTCTTTGTGTCTGTGCAGTTGAAGCAGTGGTGAAACTGGCTGGGTAGTGAAGTGACTAGTGGTGATCAGTGACATCACAATTGGCTTTGAGCGACGAGTGTTATTGTGGATTAGGTTGTAAGATCACGTCCTGGTCAGGATGGAACCGACTGTTACACAGTCAGCGATTCTAACCCTGTCTGTGTATTTTTTGTGTTTCCACAGGTACTTTGACTCGGTGGACATCTGTAAGATCCACTCAGACTGGCAGGAGGTGCGGTTACAGGGCTATTTCCCCAGTAGAGCCTGTGGTCCTGTTACGGTTACTGCTCTGACCATGCTGGAGAGGACCGCGCTGGAGTTTGCTCTCTTCCAGGAGGGCAGCAGGTACTTTCTTTCTTTCTTTCTTTTTTTCTTTCTTTTTTTCTTTCTTTTTTCTTTCTTTCTTTCTTTCTTTCTTTCTTTCTTTCTTTCTTTCTTTCTTTCTTTCTTTCTTTCTTCCTTTCTTTTGCTCACTTGCTCGCTCTCTCTCGCTCTCTCTCTCGCTCAACAGCCACCTGTTGGAATGAACAATAATCATTTAGACCATGTAAATAAACAATGCAACTTTTAAACTTCTGAATCTCTATTCCCCTCCTTCCTCTAGACGGTCGGAGACGGCAGACAGCCCCCTGTTGGACCTGTGTATCATGGTGTTCAGAGCATCGTTTGGCAATGGCAACAAGCTGACCCTGGGCAGGCTGCTGGCCCACAGCAAGCGGGCCGTCAAGAAGTTTGTGGGCTGCGACGTGATGTTGGAGCCGGGCGAGTACGCCGTGGTGTGTTGCGCCTTTAACCACTGGCAGATGAACGTCAGCGGAGTGGGGTCGCCCACACCAGGTACAAACACACACACACACACACACACATATACAGTATTACAGTATATCCCTCTACCGATTGGCATGAATGGATGGTAGAGGAGTACCGCCCACACTAGCTTCACACACAAACACACACAATTACATTTACATTTACATTTACATTCACACATACACATCAACATTCTCACACCTATTCAAACACAACTGACACATTCATGATATGCATGTGTCATCTCATAGTATGAATGTGTCAGCTGTGTTTGAATATGTGTGTGAGCAGCCGGTAAAGCATTCAATAAGGAGAATATGCCTATGGACTGATTCATCTATGATAGACTCACACGGTAGAGGTCTTCATGGGTCCAAAAGGTTGGACCCATTCCGAAATGGACCTGGGGCATTCCCACCCGAACCCAATATGCATAAATACATTTTTAAAATATAGAGACCCACTCCGAACAGACCCGAGGACAACTAGACCTGTTCCGTATAGACCTGGTGGGATCCAGACTCCGAGTGAGGGAAGCAGGAGAAAAGTCCGTTTTTAAGCTACTTTATTAACCAGAGCTGATAAAGCGCTAGAGGAGGGAGAGAGATGGGCCGCTCTAGCAGGGAGCGACGAGAGACAGAAACCAGCCAAGCCGACTTTGCCGCTTTCATGACTTTCTGGAATACCCCTCTGTAGTTAACCTGCTAGCTTGTGGATTGAACTTTGTCTTTCAAATGAGGGAACAGAAAACAAAATGGAGGAGAAGAGGAAATTCAGCGACTTGGAGGGCAGTGGAAGTTGATACAAACACTTCTTTATTGATAAAACCAATGTTTTGGCCCTTAGCCTTCATCAGGGTTTTAGTAAGGCTTTTATACATTTCACATGGCTTTCTATGGGTTCATGGACCAATCACAATGGAGTCTTGTCTTCTCTTAGTGTCGAGCCCAACCAGTGCACGGCGTCCCAACCAGGACTTCCCAGGGTACATCCTGGCCATCTACAGCTCCCGTCAGGTGATGGTGGAGCAGGTGGAGGCTACCTCTACCACACTGGCCGACGCCATCATCCTACTAACCGAGAACAAGGGGGAGCGACACGAGGTGAGGGGCATGGACACATACACACTCACAGAGAGAGATGCACACAGTGAGAGACACACACACTCGGAGACACACACATTGTAGTCCTCCTGATCGGCAACAAGGGAGAGGGTTGAGGAAGAGGGGTGAGCCACACACACACACCAAAAAACAACCTTAACCTAGAACAAAATACTGTTTGTGAGAGTGTATGTATGTCCCACACACACAGTGGACAGTGGAGACTGGCACACACACACACACACACACACACATACATACACACTCTCATGGACACACACCAAACAAGGCTAGAGTAAGGAAGAGAATGTGGGTGGATGCGAGTTGGATGCACAAATCAAGTATCTGTTCTACATTCACAACACTTGTGCCTGTCTGAAAGGGTCTGTCATGTTTCCAGGTATTTGAGGGGGACGGCGGGGCTTTTAAATGTAAGCGATACTCTGTTAAATGATTCAGTTTTCCAACTCTGAATCTACTATCCACAGAAGGTGACCAACAGCTTTGGAAACATTCAAGGCAGCATGAATGTTCCACTGCTGGGGTAAAAACATGGGTTACACTTCCTACTGTATGTGGAGCCTTGCGTTTCTCGAAAGTAGTAGGCAGAAGGAATATTTATAGAGACTGGTTCGTTAAACTATTGTGTAACCCTGTCATATTATGTATATATTATGATGTAGTAACAGGCTGTGTGTCTGTCTGTGTCTGTCTGCGTGTCTGTCTCTCTCTTTATCTATGTATGTAGGGTCGCGAGGGTATGACATGCTACTACCTGACCCACGGCTGGGCGGGGCTGATCGTGGTGGTGGAGAACCGCCACCCCAAGTACTACCTCCACGTGTCATGTGACTGTACGGACAGCTTCAACGTGGTGTCCACCCGCGGCAGCCTTAAGACCATCGACAGTGTACCGCCACTGCACAGGTACTGCACACCACACAGTACATTGTTTTAAGGGCCTATTTAGAGAGTAAACTCACACACCTTAACTTGCTACCAGGTACATGGAGAAGAAAGTGTACTAAATAAAATAAAATAAACTAGAGCACATTTAATTTGTATACAGGCCTATATACCACTGTTGAAGACAGAAATTATTAATGACCGTGTTTTTTAACAGTGTTTACTTGCAGTCGTATACTTAATTGTTATAGTTGGAAGTTTACATACTTAGGTTGGAGTCATTAAAACTCGTTTTTCAACCACTCCACAAATGTCTTGTTAACAAACTATAGTTTTGGCAAGTCGGTTAGGACATCTACTTTGTGCATGACATAAGTCATTTTTCCAACAATTGTTTACAGATTATTTCACTTATAATTCACTGTATCACAATTCCAGTGGGTCAGAAATGTACATACACTAAGTTGACTATGCCTTTAAACAGCTTGGAAAATTCCAGAAAATGATGTCATGGCTTTAGAAGCTTCTGATAGGCTAATTGACATAATTTGAGTCAATTGGAGGTGTACCTGTGGATGTATTGCAAGGCCTACCTTCAAACTCAGTGCCTCTTTGCTTGACATCATGGGAAAATCAAAAGAAATCAGCCAAGACCTCATAAAAAAATGGTAGACCTCCACAAGTCTGGTTCATCCTTGGGAGCAATTTCCAAATGCCTGAAGGTACCACGTTCATCTGTAAAAACAATAGTACGCAAGTACAAACACCATGGGACCACGCAGCTGTCATACCGCTCAGGAAGGAGACGTGTTCTGTCTCCTAGAGATGAACGTACTTTGGTGCGAAAAGTGCAAATCAATCCCAGAACAACAGCAAAGGACCTTGTGAAGATTCAGGAGGAAACAGGTACAAAAGTATCTATATCCACAGTAAAACGAGTCCTGTATCGACATAACCTGAAAGGCCGCTCAGCAAGGAAGAAGCCACTGCTCCAAAACCGCCATAAAAAAGCCAGACTACGGTTTGCAACTGCACAAGGGGACAAAGATCGTACTTTTTGGAGAAATGTCCTCTGGTCTGATGAAACAGAAATGGAACTGTTTGGCCATAATGACCATCGTTATGTTTGGAGGAAAAGGGGGAGAGCTTGCAAGCCGAAGAACACCATCCCAACCGTGAAGCACGGGGTGGTAGCATCATGCTGTGGGGGTGCTTTGCTGCAGGAGGGACTGGTGCACTTCACAAAATAGATGGGATCATGAGGAAGGAAAATTATGTGGATATATTGAAGCAACATCTCAAGACATCAGTCAGGAAATGAAAGCTTGGTCGCAAATGGGTCTTCAAAATGGACAACGACCCCAAGCATACTTCCGAAGTTGTGACAAAATGGCTTAAGGACAACAAAGTCAAGGTATTGGAGTGGCCATCACAAAGCCCTGACCTCAATCCTATAGAAAATTTGTGGGCAGAACTGAAAAAGCGTGTGCGAGCAAGGAGGCCTTACAAACCTGACTCAGTTAAACCAGCTCTGTCAGGAGGAATGGGTCAATATTCACCCAACTTATTGTGGGAAGCTTGTGGAAGGCTACCCAAAACATTTGACCCAAGTTAAACAATTTATAGGCAATGCTACCAAAAACTAATTGAGTGTATGTCAACTTCTGACCCACTGGGAATGTGATGAAAGAAATAAAAGCTGAAATAAATAATTCTCTCTACTATTATTCTGACATTTCACATTCTTAAAATAAAGTTTTGATCCTAACTGACCTAAGACAGGGAATTTTTACTAGGATTAAATGTCAGGAATTGTGAAAAACTGATACAATTATATTAAAAACTGCAAACATTCCTCTCCACCCAATGGCAAAATGTGTAAAATTGCAGGAAATTAGCAGGAAAACAGCTCATTTTCCACTCTGCCCCATGGCTAAATGAGTAGAATTGCATGAAATTAGTTATAAAATTGCTAAATCTTCTCTACACCCCATGGCAAATGTATAAAATTGCACGAAATTAACTATAAAACGTTTAAAAAAATTATATGGATGTGGGTACGCAGACCTGCGAGCAACTGCGGCCCCCTCATGACGAGTTCAGATTTTTTTGTGGCCCCCACCCTGATCAATGTTGCCCATCCCTGATTTACACTGAGTATACAAAACATTAAGAGCACCTTCCTAATATTGAGTTGCACCCCCTTTTTCCCTCAGAACAGCCTCAATTCGTCGGGGCATGGACTCTACAAGGTATCGAAAGCGTTCCACAAGGATGCTGGTCCATGTTGACTCCAATGCTTCCCACAGTTGTGTCAAGTTGGCTGGATGTCCTTTGGGTGGTGGACCATTCTTGATACACACGGAAAACTGTTGAGTGTGAAAAACCCAGCAGCGTTGCAGTTCTTGACACACTCAAACCGATGCGTCTGGCACCTACTACCATACCCCGTTCAAAGGCACTTAAATTTTTTACCTTGCCCATTCTCCCTCTGAATGGCACACATATACAATCCATGTCTCAATTGTCTCAATACTTAAAAATACTTATTTAACCTGTCTCTTCCCCTCCATCTACACTGATTGAAGTGGATTTAACAGGTGACATCAATAAGGGATCATAGCTTTCACCTGGATTCACCTGGTCAGTCTGTCATGGAAAGAGCAGGTGTCCTTAATGTTTTGTACAGTCAGGGTATATACCACATCGTTCTGCTGAGGACAGTCTTGCGTGAATGCATGACCATGTTTCCTGACTGTTATCATCTGACTTTGTCTCCCCCTGCAGGCAGGTGCTGGTGGTGCTATCCCAGCTGGAGGGCAACGCAGGCTTTTCCATCACCCACCGGCTGGCCCACCGTAAGGCCGCCCAGGCCTCCCTAGGGGACTGGACCCCCAACAAGGCCACGCACAGCCCCCAGCTCACCCCCGACATCGACGGCCTACACCGGCCACGGCCCCTATGACCACGGCCCCCCCTCACACACACAAACACACACAAGCTGATGATACACACGTTGACACGCGTACGCGAACACATACGTACGGAAAGCAGGGGCTGTGTGACGCTGGAATAAACACATATGGATAGAGGGAGGAGACATCCGTGGGAAGGATGACTGGCAGTTTCGTGCGCTTCATCTTCTTCCTCCTCAATCCCTGAATGATGAGGACTCAATCCTGCCAAAACACCTCGATCCAGTTGGGAAGGAGGAGAGGAGAGTGGGTGGATGTGATGGGAGATGAGGGACCCTTCCCAGGTGAAGTCAGTGTTTCTGGGTGACTGGAGAGGTCCTGAGCCTGAGACCCTCCAACCTCCAACCAACCAGGAAGGATTCTAGATCTCACCTCGTCAACTACAACACTGTACTGTTTTTCTGTCAATGGACCAGGGATGTTACACAGACAGACACCCTGACCAGAACAGAACAGCGCCCGTTCTTTCTCTAACCCCCAACCGATGTCAACGAACGCCCAGGAACACTGACTGTTGACCCCACATCCCAAAGGTTAAAGGTCATTCAGAGGTCAGGGTGGAGTGCTGTAACTACTGAGCCACCTGGTGGCTGTTCCCCAACTGAGCCAATCCACCACACTGACCTGACCACCTGACCCCACTGTTCTTGGTCTATGGACCCACCCCACCATACTCAAGGTAGAAGAGCTGATCTAGGATCAGCTTCCCCTCCTCAAAGCCTAACCTTTTTCATTGGCGGAACTGCAAAAATGTACCTTAGATCAGCATCTGGGCCTAGGGGAAACTTCGTCCTACTCCCAATAGGCGCTGCTGTGTGAGGTTTAGTTTGGGATGGGGATGGAGGGGAGAGTTAGGTGCTCTCTCCCCCAAGCCCCCTGTCCTGCCTCCCGTACCCTGCACCTTTGGAGCTGTCAACTATCAACAGGATGGGGAGGGGGGGTACAATTCTTCCCCCGTACTCCACACCATGGTACTATGTGAGCCAAACCCGACTAGCGATTTTACCACAGTCATTTACATTTTTTAAGGCGTTTTATTGTCTTTCTTTGGTCTGCGTTTTGTACGTGTGCTGGAATCGTTTAACAAGCCATCTAGGTTACCATCTCTCTATCCGTCTCCTCTGTCTTTCTGTCGGTCAACCCCTGTTTCTCTGCTGTTGAAATGCTGTGTTATTATTTCTCAAACGCAAGTCAAAGCCTATCCACCTCAGATATAAGCTGGACTCTGACTCCGTTACAAAGAAAAATGTCAAATCAATGTGTATCATAGACAGCTGTACTGTACGGGACATATAGCATAACTGGAATCTTCAAGTTGTTGCATCTCGCTGTTTTAACTCGACATGCTGTCGTTTGTTATCCATGCGGTCCATCACTCGACAGGTTTGGGAAGGTAGCTGCTTTTCTTCCATGACGTTGGAGCTGTTGTTTTTGAGTATAGAGGGAGAGAAAGAGCTTGTGGTCCAGATCTGTGTCATCAGCAGTTTTTTTTTAAGTTTTTTTTACATAGTTGTCTCTCTGGCTGTTTCAGCAAATCTGGTCAATATTATCTGGGTGTCGAGAAAGAGGGAGTGTAACCTCTTAACCTCTAGTTTCTCTCTTTCTCTTTCTTCCTCGTCTTACTTTTTCCCTCAGTTCAGTGATCAATGCCGAAGGAGGCAAGAGATCATTTTCTCCCTGAGGTTGATTGACTTTGCACATTCAGTCAGCCTGTCTGCTCACATTTGGTACATCAAGTCTCGCTCCAGCATCAACATCAACTCTTCAGATACACAAAGCTGGTTAAAGTCCTGTTGGGAAAATACAACAGTGGAGGTCAGTGGATCACTGTCATATTAAAGTCTCCATTGTCGGTCTACCTGAAATGTTGGTCTGTCTTCTCCTTAAAGTGGAGACTACTAAGTAAGGGAATACTTGAGGAAGCCATGATTGTTTGGATAGTGAGTTTAGTTTACAGTGCATTTGATGGGGTAGACCTGTGTCGTATTCATTATTCACCAGATGGAAGAAAATGGACTGAAACGGGGAGGGACTACCTGGACTTGTCCAATAAGAAATGGTCATTTCCATTTTAAATGTTTTTCATTGCTCGCCCTAATGAACAGGATGTTGAAGAGGAAGTGAGTGTGTTTTAAAGGTGGAGGAGTTGTGAGAGCATTTAGTTAGTTTGGTCCGTCAGCCTTCGACAACAGAGCATCTGGACTGCTGTCCCTAAGGGACGCCGCAAAAGCACATTAGAGAACAAATTCTGCTTTTTAATAACGAATGAGAGATTTTATTGGACATACACACAGACACAGACACGCACACAAACACACACAAACACAGACACACAATTCCTCTCTCACACACACACACACACACGCGCACACACACAGACACTGACACACACACACACACACAAACATACATACACCGAAGAGGCCCCTGAGAAATGTAGATGTGAGGGCAGAAAATAGCGGTTTCTTCCCTCTCCGGCAATCTTGGAGCATTGTGTGCCATATTTCCCAGGATGCACAGGGAGCAGTGAGGGATGTGAGTGATGTCACAACTGTTATTCATGCTTTACGCCGGAGCCATCAGACTTCTAGCCTGGTTGACAATGCAGTGAGTGTTCAGTCTGATTTAACCAGGCTGTCAGACTTCACCAAGACAACAAAAATCCCTCATTTTAAACTGAAACAATTAACTCGCTCCATCTCCTGTCAGAGGTTGACAGAGGAGGAAATCCTTAAACACGACACCGTCTTAGCTCGCTGAGGTGTGGGAGATTTCTTGGGAGTTAAGTGAAATAACTTAAGATGTAACTTAAGTCTAAGTTAAGGCAGAACTATAAATCTCTCTTTTCTGTAATAAAATGAATTGGGAAAACATGAAAAAAAAGTTTGGGGGTGCACTCGAAAGATGATTTGTTTAGGGTATTGTTTTTCTTTGGATGTAATGATTTGCATAAATACTTGACCTTCCTTTGCATGTGTTCGAATGTAGTGTCCCCACAAAATAATGGAATTATGGAATAAGACCTTGAGCTGACGATGATGTCATACATATGACAGTTTTGACACCACTCATGACAAATAGATAGCCTGACAACGTCATGATACATGTTGTCTTGTGCAATGCAACCACAACAACTTGTTGGATAGCCAACTAGTAGCATATTTCATGACAGTGTCATCAAGTACTGTATGCATTATGACCATAATATAGTTCAAGTAGTTCGCTGTTTTAGTCAAAGTCTAACATGTACCGGAACACTTTCAGGAGAATGACGGTTCGCTCTCTGTGATTGCAGCTAAGTAGCTGTCCATTCTGTGTGTTATTCATTTGTTATTGTTAAAATGATTTGATCAAAGCACAAGAGAACCTGCTGTATCGCAAATGTAAAACGTGTGCAAGTAAGATGAGATGCATGCGTATGAGTGTGTAAACTGCAGATATGATAAGTACTGCCTGAGTGAACGATCCCATTGGTTGATAGGTGACAGAAAAGGGAATGTTTATATATTTTTGCCCAGTGGGACTGGCTTTTGTCGGAAACTGAAACCTGCACTGAAAAATACCTGAAATCAAAGGCACCTCAAATGTCAGCGTCATGAGGCTCTGTGACTTCACTTTACATGTTGTGTGCTTACATTTCGTTTTTTTTTTTTTAGTTATATATGTTTTTATTGTTCTCTTTATGTTGTTCCTGTGGATAATTCTATTCATCTCGTGTTGAGTTGTGGTGGTGGTGACTCTTCCTGGCGGTAGGGGTTCCATGTAATATTCAGTAGGAGGCTATGGCCATTCACAGTCCATAGCCAACAGCCTCTGTCTAACTATCTGGTTCTCTTTGTAAACTGTACAGACTCCAGTGCTATAATCCACCCCAACCAACACAGTGAACCAACTGTTTTACCTTGATAAAATCAAATCAAATCCAACATAATGCTGTAACAGAAAATTGAATTCTTATTTGGGCAGGAATGTGATATATAGAGTATTTTATTGATTTTGTGGGGAAATATATGAGTATATGTATAAAAACCTATCTATGTTTAATTTTCAATCTCAGGTTCCAATGGACCAAATAAAGTTTTTTTTAAATAAAAAAATACAATTGTTAATTTCTTAATATGCCCTTCACTTATGTATCTGCTTTCTCTTCTAACTACAGGTAGTCAAAATGTCTGCATTCATTGTAAATTTGGCTACACTATGTTTATAGTATATGGACAGTTCTTGACAACCTTATGTCAATAGTATTCTCTGTTTTTATTGGCCACAGCTGGAAGTTGTGTGAACTATGCTCTTCAGTGTCAGTTTCCCTACTCATCTTCCCTGGTGCTCTGTCCTTACTTCCTCTGTCCAGCAGAGAGCACCTCAGCTTGTGAGGTTGGTGCAGGGCAGAGGAACGTGCCTTGATAATCAAGAAGCATATGTCAGACTCCCTGTGACATCACCCAGAACCCATTCCCAAACCAACTAACCCCTTAACAACCCCCCTACCGTCTACCCCTTTCAACCTGTATTCAACCTATATCACTTAACCTCCTTTTAAATAATAATAATAATAATATGCCATTTAGCAGACGCTTTTATCCACAGCGCTATATAAAATATATATACACTACCGGTCAAATGTTTTAGAACACCTACTCATTCAAGGGTTTTTCTTTATTTTTACTATTTTCTACATTGTAGAATAATAGTGAAGACATCAAAACTATGAAATAACACATATGGAATCATGTAGTAACCAAAAGAGTGTTAAACAAATCAAAATATATTTTATATTTGAGATTCTTCAAATAGCCACCCTTTGCCTTGATGACAGCTTTGCATACTCTTGGCATTCTCTCAACCAGCTTCATGGGGTAGTCACCTGGAATGAATTTCAATTAACAGGTGTTCCTTCTTAAAAGTTAATTTGTGGAATTTCTTTCCTTCTTAATGCGTTTGAGCCAATCAGTTGTGTTGTGACAAGGTAGGGTGGGTATACAGAAGATAGCCCTATTTGGTAAAAGACCAAGTCCATATTATGGCAAGAACAGCTCAAATAAGCAAAGAGAAACGACAGTCCATCATTACTTTAAGACATGAAGGTCAGTCAATATGGAACATTTCAAGAACTTTGAAAGTTTCTTCAAGTGCAGTCACAAAAACCATCAAGCACTATGATTAAACTGGCTCTAATGAGGACTGCCACAGGAATGGAAGACCCAGAGTTAGCTCTGCTGCAGAGGATAAATTCATTAGAGTTACCAGCCTCAGAAATTGCATCCCAAATAAATGATTCACAGAGTTCATGTAACAGACACATCTCAACATCAACTGTTCAGAGGAGACTGTGTGAATCAGGCCTTCATGGTCGAATTGCTGCAAAGAAACCACTACTAAAGGACACCAATAAGAAGAAGAGACTTGCTTGGGCCAAGAAACATGAGCAATGGACATTAGACCGGTGGAAATGTGTCCTTTGGTCTGGAGTCCAAATTTGAGATTTTTGGTTCCAACCGCTGTGTCTTTGTGAGACGTGGTGTGGGTGAACGGATTATCTCTGCATGTGTATTTCCCACCGTAAAGCATGGAGGAGGAGGTGTTATGGTGTGGGGGTGCTTCGCTGGTGACACTGTGATTTATTTAGAATTCAAGGCACACTTAACCAGCATGGCTACTGCAGCATTCTGCAGCGATACGCCATCCCATCTGGTTTGGGCTTAGTGGGACTATCATTAGTTTTTCAACAGGACAATGACCCAACACATCTCCAGGCTGTGTAAGGGCTATTTTACCAAGAAGGAGAGTGATGGAGTGCTGCTTCAGATGACCTGGCCTCCACAATCCCCCGACCTCAACCAAATTGAGATGGTTTTGGGATGAGTCGGACCGGCAGAGTGAAGGAAAAGCAGCCAACAAGTGCTCAGCATATGTGGGAACTCCTTCAAGACTGTTGGAAAAGCATTCCAGATGAAGCTGGTTGAGAGAATGCCAAGAGTGTGCAAAGCTGTCATTACATTTACATTTTAGTCATTTAGCAGACGTTCTTATCCAGAGCGACTTAGTTAGTGAGTGCATACATTTTTCATACTGGCCCCCCGTGGAAAACGAACCCACAACCCTGGCGTTGCAAGCGCCATGCTCTACCAACTGAGCTACAGGGGACTAAAGGCAAAGGGTGGCTATTTGAAGAATCTCAAATATAAAATATATTTTGATTTGTTTAACACTTTTTTGGTTACTACATGATTCCATGTGTTATTTCATAGTTTTGATGTCTTCACTATTATTCTACAATGTAGAAAATAGTAAAAAATAAAGAAAAACCCTTGAATGAGTAGGTGTTCTAAAACTTTTGACCGGTAGTGTATTATTATTATTAACCTCCGCCCCTGTTTATCACTTAACCTCCACCCCTCCCTCCTCCATCCCCTCATCCCCTCCCTTTGCCCCCCAAATCTCGACCTCGGATGCCAGGAATCCTCCAGAGCTCAGGCATCAGCACTTTTCCTTGCCCCCAGCTCAGGCCTGCTCGGAGGGGGATAGGTTTTCACTGCTGGCCCCCCTGCTTGGGGTTAGCATTGCACAACCACCACCCAACCTGGGGAGCTGTCAATCACCCTCACCATCCCTCACCAGGCAGTCTGGAGTGAGGAAGAGACTAGAAAGAGAGACCCAGTGAAGAACCAGGACTCTGGAATAGTCTAGACCACATTCCTCTGAACCAGACCTGACAAGGTATTGTGAAGTTATTTTGGTTTACCTGTGTGAGTCAATCACAGTGTTGCTGTGATTTGTCTGCATAGTGGTTCAGTATAGTGATGTAGTGATTTAGAATGATTTAGAATATACAGCCTGTCTGTAGTGATTGTAGACAGTATGGTGCACTGAGTGATTAACTTCTTGGTCAGAAACCAGTCTCTCAAGAATTTAAACTTTTCCTCTCGTGGGAAATTTATACATTTTATGCTTTGCCCTCCTTGTGCCCTGTAGATAAGAAACGTACTAATATACTGTAGTTCTTTCAATTTGGCCCCATGAAGATAAGACCTTTTTTTTTTCTGGCTGGAAAATTAATTTAGAAATTAATTATACAATGCATTTTTATGCCTTGCAGATACAGTATGCCATATTTCTGACAAAGAGAAATGTCCACTGTTTCACACTTTTAAAAAAACGTTCTGTGCAGTTCCAGTATGGAACTTCTGTACCTCTATACAGTTAAGTTACACAGGCCTACGCAGTATAGCCAGTGTGTGTATATACGTATACTCCAGAAAATGCTAGGCATTTGTCTGTGAAGCTAATTTTGCTTTTAGTACATTTCTGTGGTGCTTTTGGAGCCAGCCCTGTCTCCAAAATGTGAGTAGAATAGGTAAAGGTCATTGTATTTTACAGTAACTTAAAACATAATAGTTTTATGCATGTTATTTACTCTGGAATATATACTATTAAGAATGCACTCCATAGGTAACATAATACAACATATTTTAAAATAAGTGCTCTATATTTTTGATATCCCTATAATTACCTGTGTAGATCCCTGTATATATTTAGTGTATAGATTGTTATTCAGCCTGTAAATGTACAGTGCCTTGCAAAAGTATTCATCCCCCTTGGCCAATTTCCTATTTTGTTGCATTACAACCTGTAATTTAAATGGATTTTTATTTGGATTTCATGTAATGGACATACACAAAATAGTCCAAATTGGTGAAGTGAAATGAAAAAAATTACTTATTTCAAAAAATTCTAAAAAATAAATAACGGAAAAGTGGTGCGTGCATATGTATTCACCCCCTTTGCTATGAAGCCCCTAAATAAGATCTGGTGCAACCAATTACCTTCAGAAATCAAATAATTAGTTAAATAAAGTCCACCTGTGTGCAATCTAAGTGTCACATGATCTGTCACATGATCTCAGTATATATACACCTGTTCTGAAAGGCCCCAGAGTCTCCAACACCACTAAGCAAGAGACACCACCAAGCAAGCGGCACCATGAAGACCGCTCCAAACAGGTCAGGGACAAAGATGTGGAGAAGTACAGATCAGGGTTGGGATAAAAAAATATCCGAAACTTTGAACATCCCACGGAGCACCGTTAAATCCATTATTAAAAAATTGAAAGAATATGGCACCACAACAAACCTGCCAAAAGAGGGCCGCCCAACAAAACTCACGGACCAGGCAAGGAGAGCATTAATCAGAGAGGCAACAAAGAGACCAAAGATAACCCTGAAGGAGCTGCAAAGATCCACAGCGGAGATTGGAGAATCTGTCCATAGGACCACTTTAAGCCGTACACTCCACAGAGCTGGGCTTTACGGAAGAGTGGCCAGACAACAGCCATTGCTTACAGAAAAAAATAAGCAAACACGTTTGGTGTTCGCCAAAAGGAATGTGGGAGACTCCCCAAACATATGGAAGAAGGTACTCTGGTCAAATGAGACTAAAATTGAGCTTTTTGGCCATCAAGGAAAACGCTATGTCTGGCGCAAACCCAACACCTCTCATCACCCCGAGAACACCATCATGCTGTGGGGATGTTTTTCATCGGCAGGGACTGGGAAACTGGTCTGAATTGAAGGAATGATGGATGGCGCTAAATACAGGGAAATTCTTGAGGGAAACCTGTTTCAGTCTTCCAGAGGTTTGAGACTGGGACGGAGGTTCACCTTCCAGCAGGACAATGACCCTAAGCATACTGCTAAAGCAACACTCGATTGGTTTAAGGGGAAACATTTAAATGTCTTGGAATGGCCTAGTCAAAGCCCAGACCTCAATCCAATAGAGAATCTGTGGTATGACTTAAAGATTGCTGTACACCAGCGGAACCCATCCAACTTGAAGGAGCTGGAGCAGTTTTGCCTTGAAGAATGGGCAGAAATCCCAGTGGCTAGATGTGCCAAGCTTATAGAGACATACCCCAAGAGACTTGCAGCTGTAATTGCTGCAAAAGGTGGCTCTACAAAGTATTGACTTTGGGGGGTGAATAGTTATGCACGCTCAGGTTTTCTGTTTTTTGTCTTATTTCTTGTTTTCTTTTCACAACAAAACATATTTTGCATCTTCAAAGTGGTAAGCATGTTGTGTAAATCAAATGATATAAACCCCCCAAAAATCCATTTTAATTCCAGGTTGTAAGGCAACAAAATAGGAAAAATGCCAAGTCATGTTTTTATTTTATTTTAATTTACAGTCATGTAAAACCTTGCAGGTACAGTGGGGGAAAAAAGTATTTAGTCAGCCACCAATTGTGCAAGTTCTCCCACTTAAAAAGATGAGAGGCCTGTAATTTTCATCATAGGTACACGTCAACTATGACAGACAAAATGAGGAAAAAAATCCAGAAAATCACATTGTAGGATTTTTTAATGAATTTATTTGCAAATTATGGTGGAAAATAAGTATTTGGTCAATAACAAAAGTTTCTCAATACTTTGTTATATACCCTTTGTTGGCAATGACACAGGTCAAACGTTTTCTGTAAGTCTTCACAAGGTTTCACACACTGTTGCTGGTATTTTGGCCCATTCCTCCATGCAGATCTCCTCTAGAGCAGTGATGTTTTGGGGCTGTCGCTGGGCAACACGGACTTTCAACTCCCTCCAAAGATTTTCTATGGGGTTGAGATCTGGAGACTGGCTAGGCCACTCCAGGACCTTGAAATGCTTCTTACGAAGCCACTCCTTCATTGCCCGGGCGGTGTGTTTGGGATCATTGTCATGCTGAAAGACCCAGCCACGTTTCATCTTCAATGCCCTTGCTGACGGAAGGAGGTTTTCACTCAAAATCTCACGATACATGGCCCCATTCATTCTTTCCTTTACACGGATCAGTTGTCCTGGTCCCTTTTCAGAAAAACAGCCCCAAAGCATGATGTTTCCACCCCCATGCTTCACAGTAGGTATGGTTTGTCCGAGTGCTGCTGGTCTAAGGCACGCATCGCAGTGCTAATGTGCACTAGAATCATGGTTCCAATCCGCTCTGTCGTCAGCCGCCGGACCGGAGAACTATGGGCGGCGCACAATTGGCCCAGCGTGTCTAGGGTAGGGAGGGAATGGCCGGCAGGGATGTACTCAGTTGATAGAGCATGTTTGCAACCCAGGTTGTGGGTCGATTCCCACGGGGGCCAGTATAAAAAAAAAAAAAAAAAAAAAAAAATGTAATCACTAACTGTAAGTCGCTCTGGATAAGAGCGTCTGCTAAATGACTAAAAGTAGGTATGGTTTCTTTGGATGCAACTCAGCATTCTTTGTCCTCCAAACACGACGAGTTGAGTTTTTACCAAAAAGTTCCAATCCTCTTCTGGATCATCCAATTGCACTCTAGCAAACTTCAGACGGGCCTGGACATGTACTGGCTTAAGCAGGGGGACACGTCTGGCACTGCAGGATTTGAGTCCCTGGCGGCGTAGTGTGTTACTGATGGTAGGCTTTGTTACTTTGGTCCCAGCTCTCTGCAGGTCATTCACTAGGTCCCCCCGTGTGGTTCTGGGATTTTTGCTCACCGTTCTTGTGATCATTTTGACCCCACGGGGTGAGATCTTGCGTGGAGCCCCAGATCGAGGGAGATTATCAGTGGTCTTGTATGTCTTCCATTTCCTAATAATTGCTCCCACAGTTGATTTCTTCAAACCAAGCTGCTTACCTATTGCAGATTCAGTCTTCCCAGCCTGGTGCAGGTCTACAATTTTGTTTCTGGTGTCCTTTGACAGCTCTTTGGTCTTGGCCATAGTGGAGTTTCGAGTGTGACTGTTTGAGGTTGTGGACAGTTGTCTTTTATACTGAAAACAAGTTCAAACAGGTGCCATTAATACAGGTAACGAGTGGAGGACAGAGGAGCCTTTTAAAGAAGAAGTTACAGGTCTGTGAGAGCCAGAAATCTTGCTTGTTTGTAGGTGACCAAATACTTATTTTCCACCATAATTTGCAAATAAATTCATTAAAAATGTGATTTTCTAGAAAAAAAATTCTCAATTTGTCTGTCATAGTTGACGTGTACCTATGATGAAAATTACAGGACTCTCTCATCTTTTTAAGTGGGAGAACTTGCACAATTGGTAGCTGACTAAATACTTTTTTTCCCCACTGTAGGTGCAACAGACTGTCAATACACCCTGTGTGTTGATACTGACAATACACACCCTGTGATATGATACACACACTTATGCAAGTGGCCACGAGGGGATTGATTCACTGTTGCGGTTGTGATTTGGCGTCAAGGGCAACAGGCTGGTCGCCTCATTTCTGACATATCTCCTGATCTTCCCTAATGGAGCTCTATTCTCCAGGGTTTCCATTACATGGGTATTACCATCCTGTTAGGGGGACTCTGACATCAGGGCAGGAAAGGATAAGGGAGACCCAGTTACCCCTCTTACGCCTACATTCATGTGTCAGTGACTTCAGTGTATTGCTGGCAACCGTAGTGGAAGATGGGGAAGGGTCCAAGATCGTGCTGAGGCTAATGTCTTGTTTTCATTTTGAGGAATGTTTCTTAACTTGATTAAACTCCACATTTTCAGTGTTTTACTCATCATATGATGTAATAACACCAGTAGAATCATGCAACGTTTAAGTAAAAAACGATGTGAAATAATACATGTGCACTTCTAACTAAGTCATACTTAATTCCTTAAATCATTCTGAGTTGAGTGAGATTAGTGGACATGTCTATTATAACACAAGGTTATGACTTCCTAGTGGATGTTTTATACATTTTGATCTGTGACTGAATATATATATTTTTTTTAGAAAGTGGCATATCCTAGTGGTCTGTCCTTCTGACCTCCCCACTATCCCACCCCACCCTCCCCAATTACTTGTCTGTCTGAGATCGCATCACCATCCCTGCTCCTTGTCATTGTCAATCTGGGCTCTTGGGGCCTAACCGTGTCCCATTGTTTACCCCAAGAGTGTCTGGGTTCTGTCTGTCAATCAATTATAAAGTGCCTTCCTGAAGCTCTGTGGCTTAGGCCACATGCTAGGAATATTTACTGCTGTAGACAATTGGCGGACATATGGATTTGTCCTTGTAAGTCACTGTGGTGTGCCAGTTCTAAAACATACCATAGACAAGCTATCTATAGGACATATTTTGATGGACCAAATGTCTTGATGAAGCCGCAGAGTTGCAGTTGATTGATCATCAGCTGTGTGTCTTTGTATCTCTCTCTCTCTGTGTTCCCTTGTAACAACATTCAGACACATCAAAATGTCTGGACAAATCCCAGCACTCCCAGAATCCTTTGCTCCAGGAATAGATGGCGTGTTCTCGGACCGCATTGGCTTCTACTCTCTGGACTCCAACGTCCCTGGCCTGTCCAAGGTCATTCTCAACAAACTCAACATGAAGGATTATGGGGAATACAGGTAAATATAGGCTGACATGTAATCTGACAAACTCAATTACCAAGCAAGCACCCAACCAATAGCCCCATTTCACCAACCCCAAACGTGTGCGCGCTGTCACTACATTTTAAAAGCTACTTTGACCCTTAGGGCCACCATATCAAACCTGTAATATTTTCTGATTACACAATTTTACATCAATAAACAACATACTCACCCACAACATGATGGTAAAGTATTGATACTATTTGATTATTATTCTTTGTGTGAAAGCAGTTGTGTGTCTGTCACCCCAGGGCAGCTATGGAAGGGAAGACTAAGGGAGGGGTGTTCCGTAACTACAAGGAGATGTTCCAGAAAATGGAGGAGACGTTTAAATTCTGTGCCAGATGCAACAAGCTTCCACAGCACCTCTCACAGGGCCAGACACTCAAGCGTTGTGTGAAGTGAGTCAAAACATTGAGGAGTTACAGGTCAATGAATGAAATGTGACCACAAAGTAGGGTTAAACTCATAAACTAATTTGATGAAAGTTATTAAAGTTGAAAAATGTTTACTTGTATAGTTTCATTGCGTATAAAGGACTTGTCTACACTGACTGTACAAAACATTAGGAACACCTGCTCTTGTGGATGTCGATGAAGGCAGCCCTCCGCACCTCTCTGATTCAGAGGGGTTGGGTGAAATGCGGAAGACACATTTCAGTTGAATGCATTCAGTTGTACAACTGACTAGATATCCCCCTTTCCTTTCCCTTTCTTTCCACGACAGACTGACCAGGTGAATCCAGGTGAAAGCTATGATCCCTTATTGATGTCACCACTTCAATCAGTTTAGATGAAGGGAAGGTGGCAGGTTAAAGAAGGATTTGTAAGCCTTGAGACAATTGAGATTGGATTGTGTATGTGTGCCATTCAGAGGGTGAATGGGAAAGACAAAATATTTAAGTGCCTTTGAACAGGGTATGGTAGTAGGTGCCAGGCACACCGGTTTGAGTGTGTCAAGAGATCCTGGTTCGAATCCAGGCTCTGTCGTAGCCGGCCGCGACCGGGGGCGGCGCACAATTGGCCCAGCGTCGTCCAGGGTTGGGGAGGGGATGGCCGGCTGGGATGTTGGTAGAGCATGGCGTTTGCAACGCCAGGGTTGTGGGTTCGATTCCCACGGGGGGCCAGTATGAAAAAAATATATAATGAATGCACTCACTAACTGTAAGTCGCTCTGGATAAGAGCGTCTGCTAAATGACTAAAATGTAAAAAATGTAAAATGTATATTTGCTTATCAAAAAAGAGCAGATAACTTCCACATTTGCCTGCCAACCCCTCGATGCACTCTCTACAACATGACATCATTCTATGGTCAGCAATGTCATAACGCAGAAGGGAAGGTATTTTGATCTATTCCCCAATAGCTGTCATGTGTTAAGCATGTTGACCAGTGCCGTCCACACAACACATTCATGTGCAGCTCATTTCTTCAACAACATGATGATAGGACAGTTAGGTGCAGACAGAACTGAAGACTCACTGGATCCTAGCCAAGGGCAGATTTAGCCAGGCGTTCCGACTCTCTCATCTCTCAGCAACTCTATGACTTTGTCCAGTTGGAGAAGACGATTTGTTGAACTCAACCTGCAGTTTCTAATGACACGTCAAGTCTATCATATTTCAATATAAGAATCTATTATTGACCATAGTGGTAAGCAATTTATATCTACAAACTTCTCCATGACAGACTTTCGTCATTCAGTTCCATTCCAGCCGGAAAGCTTCATAGCTGTTACACAAACAGTATAGACACATCAAACCTGGGTTCAAATAACATTTGATTTCTTTCAAATACTTTGAGCATATGATTGAGCCTGTCTGAAGCGCCAGCTGGGCAATTTTGAGGCTCAGGAGATTCCAGCTACAATGGCCTGTCCCAGACAAGGAAAGTACAACCGATTCCTGGGGACGCAAGACAGAGCTGTTCGCATTATTGCAATGTCGACTAGGGGTGGCAGGGTCTTTGGCATAAAGGATTATCACCTATAAACCCATGGGAAAACGTATTCACTGGTGGGTTGTGATTTATGACTCGAAAGATAGCTTTTGTCAGAATTTGGCATTTCACAAAATAACTTCCAATAGCTTTAGGTATAGTTCACAGACTAAAGGACATTTTTGTAACCTCTGCACTAGACAATAGTTTGAAAACACTTCACTACCATTAATTCAGAGACTCGCTGCCCAGAAAGTGGAGAAACTACTTTGTCCAGTCTGGATCACCTCATCAGCACTGAGGGTATTTGAAAGTGGCTCTGGACAAGGGTGACTGATAATTGAATACATGTTAATCTAAATGTAACCAGGTCTGGGGCTTAGAGTGGTGCATGATGGGTGAGTGTATTATGGTCTCAGAGAGTAGCCAGGCAGCCACCCCAGTCGACAGCATTATCTCACCACCTAAACCATGTGGCCAGGCACAAGACCGGTGGTTGTATAATCAGCAGTAAATTCCCACCTAAATTCTGTCCTTTACCGCAGCTATTTAACACCGGCTGCTCTTGAAAACAGGACAGACTCCAACAGAGTCTTAAATGTGTCAAAATGCCTCCATTGATAGCTAAGGTCAGAGTTTGAACCTGGCCGTGGCATGACTCTACACACCAATGTGATATGGCTACTATTAATATACCAAGACAAAATAGCCACTAATCTCACAAGAAGCAAGCCTGTGATGTGATTCCAAAGACGCACTCTATTTGCATGTTCAACATAAATGTCATCCTCCTCTTTGCCCTTATTTCCTCTGTTCTCACACAGGTGTCTGAATGTATACTACTGCACAAAGGAGTGTCAGAAGAAGGACTGGCCTCAACATAAGATGTTCTGTGAGAAGCTGCGTCTAGTGGCAGTTGATCGGCTGGTGGAGTGGCTTATGTTCACAGGTGAGACGTAGAAAGGTGTGGGAGAGAGCTGATATTGTAACACATTTCTTGACCATTTCTTCTGTACTTATAGTCCCACACTCTCAGCTTTTTGAAAGTGCAACCAATTCAAATATCAGTTCATTGCAATGCAATATTGAAATTCAAGAAAATCTGAATACACAGTGTCTGAAACTTTAAAATGGCGTATAACAATGTTCAATATTAGGACCATCATTTTTTTAAATGTCACTATTGTTTTGTATGATATTCCATAGTATAACTAGGTTTTCTGTGCTACTAAATGACGACATACAGTCATCAAGGGTCCATATTTATTTCATACTGCTTCTCTTTGCCACCCAATCAGGAGATCTCCCATTCACCACAGAGAAGTGGTCCCTGCCAGCAGCAGAGGTGAAGGGCTGGGACGACTGGCTTGCCATGCAAGGTGACCTAACCCCCCGTCTGGACGCCATCTTGTCTAGCACAAATATGGGAGTGCTTTGGAAAAATGCCTCTAGGCCACGACCAGAAGATGCTGACCTGAGAGATTCTGTATGGCGAGTTGAGAGCGAGTTCCTGTCTCGGGCACTTTCTGTTGGCATGGCGATAAGACTCTTTGGCCTAGATCCTTACTTCAAACCACTCACCATCCATCTAGCAGGGGCCGGCCTAAATGAGACGATGGGAGCCCGATTGACAGACTTTGATGAACTGGACCGAATGTTTCCTGGACACAAGGGTCTGGAGGTGGTGATGGTGGGGCCAGAGGTGGTGGATGGGCCCATCATGAGGCCCCCTCTGACGAATTTTGGCCCCAAGACGAAGACCTTTATCAGTGCCTACAAGGGCCTCTACCACCAGTTCTATGAGGATATGGTAGAGACCGAGAAAGCAGCTAAGCCAGATCTGGTGGTTGGATTCCATCCAGGTAAACATTTCCTTGTTTTAAATTCAATCCAATTTAAAAGAGGGTTAGGGTTGAAAGAACGGTAGTTGGCATAATGAGTTGAATGCCCTCTTCAGAGTTCTGAGAAGTCTGTTTTTGTTTGAAACATGTTATTGCCAGATTTGCTGCGTCAAGCTATTTTAAGGGTCTTATCTCGGCACCCAGAACCAAATCTCGCGTGTGCCCTGGCCATCTGGTAACTGTCTGTCCTGACAGATTAAGCAGAGTCAAACTCAAGTGGTCAGCTGTCTTTGAGAGGAAAATGGTCTGCTTTAGAGCCAGGATGATGGGGGAGGAGGAGAGTGTTACTCACTAAATTAGAAAGATGTGTTTAGGCCAGACTTTTACTGGGCGTCTTAGTGATTCATGGCGACAGCTGGGCCGAACCTGGCACCTGATTGCTGGACTCTGCGCAATCTCCTGCTGCGAGGGAGAGTTCCAGTCCCCCCTGGAGTTTACTTAACACGCAGCCCCCAACCCCGTCACCACCCCTGGCAGTGTCCTTTTCACATCCAAACCCAGGCAACCCTATCCCATAGTCAAGCCCCGTCTCTGTAGGTACTAATGAAAGCTGAGAACTGCTAAGAGGGCGAAGGTAATAAAGTAGTTTCATTCTAGTGCCACATGTAAAGGTGGTCCAAGCAAGGCTCTTTACAATGCATTGACAACAGTGATGCATCTAACTTCAAAACATGCACTTATTTTATCTGTTACTCTTTTAACAATAACTTGACTTACTGATACAGTCTAGTATCTTCTCTGGTTGAAACTGGCTAATCTCTACAGTGTTTCAAACAATCCAGAATGGTTATATGCCAAGAATGTTTGACTCTCCAACTGGAAACTCCACAAAGACAGCTGATGGAGGAGTAATTAGTGACATCATCACAGCAAAGATAGAGACTGAAGCAGAGACCCCATATAAAACCTTAATAAAACACATGCAAGTCCAACTTTTCTGTACTTGGTTCAGTCATTGAAAGCCATCTTACACTGCCTTTTCTCCTCCTTACAATGTTAAACTACCCTCATAGAAGAAGTATAACGAATCCAGATAATGGTCCTAACTGTGGTATATTTAGTATCTTTGTCACACATTCAAAATGGCGGCCGGCCCTGTAGCCGGTGGTTATTGCGACCATTAACAGTCATGATGTAAATGAGCTCCTGAGTGGCGCAGTGGTCTAAGGCACTGCATCGCAGTGCTAACTGTGCCACTAGAGATCCTGGTTCGAATCCAGGCTCTGTCGCAGCCGGCCGCGACCGGGAGACTCATGGGCGGCGCACAATTGGCCCAGCGTCGTCCAGGGTAGGGGAGGGAATGGCCGGCAGGGATGTAGCTCAGTTGATAGAGCATGGCGTTTGCAACGCCAGGGTTGTGGGTTCGATTCCCATGGGGGCCCAGTATTAAAAAAAAAAATGTATTCACTAACTGTAAGTCGCTCTGGATAAGAGCGTCTGCTAAATGACGTAAATGTAATGTGGTGTCTCTCTGTCACCTTACCTCCTAGAGGGATAAACGCTGCTTAGTCCGTGTTAAATGTTTTATCGCCATTTAAATTGTAACCTTGGGTGTATATTTCATAACATGCATTATTCACCCGCAAATCCTCTCCTTCTTAGGTGTGTGTTCTCTCGCGAGACATGATGGGGGCATAAGACTGTGTTTAATGTGATACCCTACATTAGAAGCTTTACACTGTCCCTGTAATAGGCTCCCTCGGGACGCCTTTTCTGAACATGCACTCCATTGCTGCTGACATTCCTGTATGCTTTAATGTGACCCCTTCGATATCCATATTTTGAATGAGATATGGACACTTTCTGTGTGCAAAACAGTGTATGCACAACATTAGATTGTATTCTCTTTTTTTGTTTTTGCCTGATTGATATTTTTTCAGATTCAACTTGAGACTCATTCAATGTATTGTCCATACTTGAGGAGATTCATGTGTATGTTTCTCTTTGTGTCCCAGGGTTTCATGCCACACAGGGTCTGGGAGAAGGCTGGCTGCCTAGCCTCCTCCTCCTGAGAGATTTCAACATCCCCTCATTCTTCACCATGTACAAGTAAGTCACCTCACCTCTATGCTTTAAGACAGTGGTGTTCAGGAGTGGTGTTCAGAAGTTCTTTCTGACCATCTTACCTGACCAGGACCTGACAAGTTAAAGGGTTTTAACTGGTCAGGTCAAGTAGTAAGGCTTTGCTCAAAGCTAGGATTGTTGTTGACTTAAATAGGGTTCAGATATCATGTTGTGTGTTTTTCTGTCTGTCCACAGTGAGATGGAACTGAACTATTCCCTGCAAATTCTGTCTGAGTTGGAAATGCATATCAAGGGCAGTGGCCCCAACCCCTTTTCATCCCTGAAGCCAGAGCAGGTCCAGGCCTGTCCCAACAAACCACCTTCATACTGCAACTCCCACTTCCTCTATTTTCAGGGCCTACGGGAGCAAGAAGAGCTTCAGCAATCGGACAATTATAAAACTTATTGGAAGGCTTAAAAAGTATAAAATGAATAGCTCTGGATAGCCACATTAGCATCCTATATTGCATGCGTCGTCCGGGTTTGGCCGGGGCAGGCTGTCATTTTAAATAAGAATTTGTTCTTAACTGACTTGCCTAGTTAAATAAAGGTTCAAAAAAACGTATTCATATGGATGCTTTTAGTGTTGCTTATATGCATAGGCAAAATGCATTATGGTGTTGCTCTCCATTGTATCTCTTGTGTATGATGAACCAATGAAGCTATATACATTTATGGTGCCTGTGTGTCTAGTTTTAATGCTGATCATTCACTTAGTTTGCTGAAGCCTACATGTTTTGTGTGCACACAATCAGTGGTGTAAAGTACTTAAGTAAAAATACTTTAAAGTACTACTTAAGTAGTTTTTTGGGGGTATCTGTACTTTTCTATTTATATTTTTGACAACTTTTACTTTTACTTCACTACATTCCTAAAATATTGTACTTTTTACTCCATACATTTTCCCTGATAACCCAAAGTACTCGTTACATTTTGAATGCTTAGCAGCATAGGAAAATTGTGAAATTAATGCACTTATCAAGAGAACACGTGGTCATTCCTACTGCCTATGGTCTGGCGGACTCACTAAACACAAATGCATCTTTTGTAAATAATGTCTGAGTGTTGGAGTGTGCCTCTGGCTATCCGTAAATGTTAATATAAGGAATTTGAAATGATTTATACTTTTACTTCTACTTTTGATACTTAAGTATATTTGAGCAATTACATTTACTTTTGATACTTAAGTATATTTAAAACCAAGTACTTTTAGACTTTTACTCAAGTATGACAATTGGGTACTTTTTCCACCACTGCACACAATTGCATGCAGACCAACCAGCTGAATAGTGAAACTGAAAACTAATTTGGTTAATAAATACAATAAAATTATGTTACACAGATAAGTGGACGTTCCAGAAGTGTGAAAATTGTCCATCAATATTTGAAGTTTAATTATGAATAATTCAGTGTCGAAACCGAGGAGTGCAATTAATTCCATCCCATTGACTCAATCCAATCCACATCTATAGATGCTTGCGCGCCAGTCTTGAATAGATCTACAGCGCCATCTTGTGGATTAAAATCATAAATGCACTCCTGAATACAGTCAAATGTCCTATATGTGATAAAAGTGCAATTTTAGAATAATAATAATATGCCATTTAGCCAAAGTGACTTACAAGAAGGCTATGGTAGGCCGATATATAAGCTTACACATTCAGGTATTTAGGCCTTCGTATACTGAACAAAAATATGAAAACAACATGCAACAATTTCATTGATTTTACTGAGTTACAGTTCATATGAGGAAATTAGTCAATTTAAATTAATTCATTGGGCCCTAATCTATGGATTTCACATGACTGGAAATACAGATATGAATCTGTTGGACACAGATACCTTAACAAAAATGGGCCTCACAATGGGCCTCAGGATCTCATCACTGTTCACAACGTTGACATCAGCAAACCACTCGCCCACACGACACCATACACGTGGTCTGCGCTTGTGAGGCCGGTTGGACAACCTGCCAAATTCTTTAAAACAAGGTTGGAGGCGGCTTATGGTAGAGAAACATTCAATTCTCTGGCAACAGCGCTGGTGGACATTCCTGCAGTCAGCATGCCAATTGCACTCTCCCTCAAAACTTGAGACATCTGTGGCATTGTGTTGTGTGACAAAACTGCACATTTTAGAGTGGGCTTTTATTGTCCCCTGCACAAGGTGCACCTGTGTAATGATCATGCTGTTTAATCAGCTTCTTGGTATGCCACACTTGTCAAGTAGATGGATTATCTTGGCAAATGAGAAATGCTCACTAACAGGGATGTAAACAAATGTGTGCTAAAAAATTGAGAGAAATAAGCTTTTTGTGCTTATGGAACATTTCGGTGATCTTTTATTTCAGCTCATGAAACATGGGACCAATACTTTACATGTTGTTTGTATTTTTGTTCAGTGTATATATTTAGGCCTATATATATATATATATATATATATATATTTTTTTTTTTAATCTAAACTGGAGATTCTTCAAAGTTTATGATAATCTATATTACAACAGCCTGCTACTGAATAGTATACAGCCTTTAGCATAGCCTACTGTATGCAATATTTTCTATTTATTACAACTCGTTCAAAAAAACAATAATATTGTCCTACAAGTGGAATGAGTTTAGGAAAAGTTTATATGAAAGAACTGCGACCATCTGAAGAGACGGGAAGGATCTAGAGTTGTCAGACAGTTCTGGAAGGGGGAGCACAGGTGGTATAAGTGGCTGGCGCAGCCATCGCTGCAAACCAAGCAAGCTCCGTGAGAAGAGTAATTCAGCAACGTGCGTTACTTCAAGAGTTCCAATGACAGATACCAAGAGGTAAGCAAATGGCTTTATTGGTCGAGAATTACCAGGTACGCTAACGTGTGTGCATGGTCTCTCCCCTGCCTCGTGTTCGTGTTATGCTTTAAAGGTAGACACTGAATGTCCCCATGGGTTTTACTACGTCTATTGCGGGACTGGACACGCTATGGCAATCAAATATGCACTGAGGACTTACTGAAGGAACGTAGGCCTGCATTCAGATGTAGTCAAGGCCATGATGGTTTTCTGTGTCTCATAACTCTATTGTCACTGTCAATATGATGTTCAATTTATATGTAGTATTTCCTCTACTAAAGGAATTTGTCATTCTGTTCTGTGCTTTAAAAACATTGTCATCTGGATCTGGGTCTAACAACACAACATATCGAACACAACCTCTTTTTTTTACTGATATTTCAAGGATTTATTATATAAGTATTGTAATGTGTGTTTCATGTGCCATGTTCTCGAACAATCCCCCCCCCTGCCTCCTCCCTCAACCCTCTCCATATATGGCAGACCAAATATTCCAATCTAAAAATAAGGGACATGTGCTTCACGGTGGTCAGTAGTGGTCTTTAGGATTGGGTAGCACACCCAATGAAAAATAGCTGTAAGACAGGTCTCATTCAAGTCATGAAGTCATGATTTGATCCCATCTGATGTGAGTTGGGGTCTGATCCCTGGCAAATACATTTGCCTTTCATGTATTAACATATTTTTTTTCTGTGATGTGGGATTCCTTTTTAACCCCTCCATGACCAACCCCACCAGCCACCCACACACTCACCTTATTATAGAAGTCCCCTCATTGAGTATAGGGTGTTGTGTTTCTATTGCATGCATTTCTGTGGTTAGTTCATTCTCATTGTAAAAACATTTTTTTCACACATTTTACAAACTCTCTTGCCGTTGAAGTGTGTTAGACATGAAGGCCTACTTTTTATTCTCCCTGTCAAGTTTTAATTCAAAAAAAGCTGAATGTGGTCCTATAGCATTATTGATGCTTTAAAATAATTATGAAAAATTGCACATATGTGACCCGTTTCCGTATGTCACAAGTCACGACTTCACAGGAGAGCCGTTTGAACGTTTAAAAAAGATATGTATATCAAAATGCGGTTTTTTTTGGGCAGAAATGCCTTCTGGAACATGTGAACTTTCATGTGCCTTAATAACAAACGTGTATGCCATCTGTAAATACAAATACAATTATTGTCTCCATCTACCACTCCCTAGTGCCCCAGCACCAGGGGGTAAGGCCAAGGCCATGGCCTTCAAGTCTCAGAAAGAGATGTTTCAGAAGATGGAGGAATCGTTCAAATTCTGCGCCAGTTGCGGAAAGCAGCCTGGTCAGGTTTCAGATGCACAAAAACTCAAACGCTGTGTGAGGTAATTATGAGAAAGACAGAATAAAAAATATACTTGAACATGAACCTTGCACTCCATTATGTATTGTACTGGTTACATGATCCAAAATAGTTATCTGGTTGGAAGTGGGTGTACTGTCCTCACAGGTTCTTCCTTTCCCTTCCATCCTCTCCCTCATCTTCCTCCTTCTGACTACCCCAGGTGTCTGAATGTCTACTACTGCAGTAAAGAGTGTCAGAAGACTGATTGGCCTCAGCACAAGAAGGTCTGCTCGGAGTTGCGTCTAGCAGCCATTGACCGACTGGTGGAATGGCTTGTGTTCAAAGGTGAGAGAAAGAGAAGGCAGATAAAAGAGGAACGAGCCATGACATTGGGCCAATTGCTGCATGATTGTCGTGATTTAGATTAACAATGTGCACTGAGGGTCCTGACATCGACACTAGCAAGAGCCATCGTCCTCTGTTATTTGTCAAGATGAAAGCACCACCTATCTGAGATCATTTTGAAAAATGAATTAAAAAGGTGTTCCACAGGGTTCGATTCTAGGAGGACCATTTCCTATTAATGTTTTATGACAGTTATTGTCTGAACAGTGTATTCAAATAAATAAAAATAGACAACACCAGGAGGATAGCACCAACTTCAGGATAGCCCAGACTGATTTCATACTCCCCCTTCCTCTTACCCAATCAGGAGACCTCCCATTCTCTACACAGAAGTGGACCCGACCACAAGGGGAGGTGAAGGGTTGGGATGACTGGCTTGCCATGCAAGGGGACCTCACCCCCCGTCTGGACGCCATCTTGTCTGGCACTAATATGACAGACCTTTGGACCAATGCCGGCAGGCCCAAGCCAGAGGACGATGACCTGAGAAAGTCGATTTGGCGGGTATCGAGCGAGTTCTTCTCCCGGCCGATGACTATTGCCCTAGGGTTTAGACTGTTTGGCTTAAACCCATATTCCAAACCCCTCACCATCCACTTGATAGGGGTTTCTGACAGTGAGACCCTGGGAGCCCGACTGACGGACTATGATGAACTGGACCGAATGTTCCCTGGACACAAGGGTCTGGAGGTGGTGATGGTGGGGCCAGAGGTGGTGGACGGGCCAATCATGAGGCCCCCACTGACTAACTTTGGCCCCAAGACGAAGACCTATATCAGTGCCTACAAGGGCCTCTACCACCAGTTCTTTGAGGAGCTTGTGGAGACAGAGAAAGCAGCTAAGCCAGATCTGGTGGTTGGATTTCACCCAGGTGAGAAGCTCTGCCATTGTGCAATGTCCAGCTTTTCAAGGAAATAGAATTGACAAAGTTTGTGTTTGCTAAAACTCCAGTTATCTCATGATAAAACAAATGGGCAAGAAACAGATTAGGAGCTGTTCTTGTCTGAGCTAAGCTCTGTTTGACTTCCTCTGTCTCCTATAGGGTTTGATGCCAGTCAAGGCCTCGATCAGGGCTGGCTACCAACACTGCTGCTCCTCAGGGACTACGAGATCCCTTCCTTGTTTACTGCACTAGAGTAAGCCCCACATAACCCTGATCTAAATACCCTCCATAGCATAATAGAATCCTCCATCTTTACCAAATCAAATCACATTTTATTCATCAACATGCTTTGTAAACAACAGGTGTAGGCTAACAGTGAAATGCTTACGGGCCCTTCCCAACAATGCAGAGAGAAAGAAAATAGAGAAATAACAAAAGTAAAATACGTAATAATAAAAGTAATAGATACACAATGAGTAACGATAACGTGGCTGTATAGAAGGGGTACCAGTACCGAGTCGATGTGCAGGGGTACGAGTTAATTGAGGTAGATATGTACATATAACTAGGAATAAAGTGTCAGATAGTAAACAGTAGCAGCGTATGTGATGAGGCAAGAGTTAGTGCAAAAAGGGTCAATGCGGAAAGTCCAGTAGCTATTTGGTAGCTATTTGGTTAACTATTTAACTATCTTTTTGCCATAACTGTTTTGACTCATCACATAAGCTGCACAAAGTCTGGAATCAACAGGACCCAGAACAGCTTCTACCCCCAAGCCATAAAACTGCTAAATAGTTAGTCCGGTAGCTATTTGGTTAACTATTTAACTAACTATTTAGCAGTCTTATGGCATGGGGGTAGAAGCTTTTCTGGGTCCTGTAGATTCCAGACTTGGTAGCAGAGAGAACAGTCTATGACTAGGGTGGCTGGAGTTTTTGACAATTTTTAGGGCCTTCCTCTGACACCGCCTGGTATAGAGGTCCTGGATGGCAGGGAGCTCGGCCCCAGTGATGAATGGGGCCGTACGCAGTACCCTCTGTAGAACCTTGTGATCGGATGCCAAGCAGTTGCCATACCAGGCGGTGATGCAGCCAGTCAAGATGCTCTCAATGGTCCAACTGTAGAATATTTTGACGATCTGATGGCCCATTGGCAACTGCTTGGCATGTGACCGCAAGGCGCTACAGAGGGTAGTGCGGACGGTCCAGTACATCACTGGGGCCGAGCTCCCTGCCATCCAGGATTAGCACTTTAATAATACTCACTTGTTTAGCATAATATCATGGTGCATTGTATGATGTAATATATTTACTAACATTCACAAACACACATTATCTTCACAATGCTGAGACCTACCTATGGTATCTAACTTAGCTTTAGAACACCCCCCCCCCATACTCCCTCTATATCCCAGATTGCCCCTTTATATTCATCTGTATTGTGTGTGTGTGTGTGTGCTCACTGTTGTCTACTACATAGAATTTAGTGTGTAATTGTTGATCCTGCCTGATCCCCGCAGGAAGACAGAGATGACCTACTGCTTGCAGATCCTCTCGGAGTTGGAGATGGATTTAAAATGCAGTGGAGTCAACCCCTTTGCCTCCCAGAAACCAGAGCAGGTCCAGGCCACTCCTAACAAACCACCTGTATATTGCAACTCCCATTACTTCTGCTTCCAGGGCCTACTGGAGACAGTGGAGTTTGAAGAACCAGAGGACGATTGAGAATTGAATTGAAGTCAAACACTAACGGGACATTGTTATTCAAGACACAAAGAAGATTTTAGGAGTAGGGAGAAGACAAGGATATCATATTTTTCAACTCAAAGTGAGAAGAATAAGTGCAATGCCTCATTGAAAAACAATAACAGTAGTTCAGTCAAGAGCGTAGTGACGTTTAAGCATTTGCATCGACTATCGAATTGCTCTTCCATAATAAGTGGAATTAAATTGAACGTTTATATCTCACAATTTGAATTGACCCATACAAAACCATTGTCTTGTTGGCAGGCAATAGATCATTTGCATAGATTTTGGACAGTAGCATATTGCACTCATTTTATATGCAAGCCATGTGTTTCTGAGCCAGTGTACAATGAAGTGACAGTTATGTACATCTACATACTATGTTATCTATGAAATTGAGTTTGCATGTTGCTACACTTACTATGGTTCAACAAACTGCTTACAGGAGATAGAGGGTGCTTTTCTAATTGCAGTCACAATGATCATTTAAAAAACGGTTCAAAAAGCAGAACTAACACACAATAATTAGTTAAGCCAAGTTGCTGGTATACTGGAACATGTTTAATTGCAGAAGAGGACAGCAGCACGTAGGTTTTCGATTTGCTTAGTTCATTATTTATTTTAAATACTATCAGCTGTTAGGCTGCTGAAATAATTAAGCAAATCTAAATTTGTGTGTGGTCCTACATCTATAATGTTTCTAATCTATAAACACCTCAATGACATCAAGTGTACCTGTGGATTTTACATTTGAAGTCATAAAAAAGACAAGAAGGCCACATATTCTTGCATTATGTTGATTTATTTCAAGGTATTTGTTAGTAGTATTAAAGCAGTTGAGATTGGCAATAGTCCCCACAGTAACCAGGTCATCATGGCGACAATAGTCACAGTTAGGCAGATTATAGTTAGGGTAGTGTCTGTAACCGAAGACGGGCCAGAGGATGTCAACAGACAGCTACAACACCACAGCCACTATGTTGACACCCAACTCCAACAGCTCCATTCCATTACAGGAGATGAAGCATTCAAGTAGCTTGATCAGATGGATGAGTATGATGAGCACAGTGACAGGGAGGCAAACTATATAGACCACAATGCACCACACCATAGCAAGCGGGCAGATGACCCACCGCACACCCAGGAAGTAGTTTGTGGTGCAGGCCAGGATGATGCAAGCCAAGACGGCCTCTATGAAGCGGAGGACCCACTGAGACTGGACAAATAGCCCTCCAGACACTTAATTTTCCTTATGATGAGAAGATGACGCAGAAGATACTGCTGATGTAGGACAGGCAAGCAAATTTGATGGCGAAGATGAGTGTGGTGGCTGCGAACATGACCGTGCACCAGTGGCGGTCGGTGCCGTTTAAGATTAGGAAGGACAACTTTTTTTTAAATGAGCATGGCCTTATTTCTATTGCAACATATTGGATGACTGTCATTCATATTCCATTCACCCAGCTCAATGTAACATCGATAGGTTTAGGCTACTACATGATACAAAAAATGTCCCAATAACCATCATGAGGTTGCTATAACCTAGCCTACGAATGAAAGTTTACAACGTAGGTGCACAGGTTGAGAGCACATGTTTTGTAATCAAGGACACAGACAGTTACACATTCAATACCGCCTTGCACACTCTTGCCTGCAACGATAGTTTCTATTGGACAAATTCAGGTATGTTTATCCCCGTTACGTTTTCCATTTGGTTCCATTTAAGAAATGTTTTAACATAATCGGCGTAATGAACACCCCTGATCACCCACACACACAGTTCACTTTCATAGCAGCCACATACAAACAGCATGATCACATTGCTCGTTGTATAATTCCTTCTCGCATCTACTCGCTCTCCTCCTCTCACCTTTTCCCTTCGCTTGTGGACTTCAGTGCACAACACAACAGCTGTCTGTGACCAGGCAAAAAAAAAATCCAAGCCAAACCCTCATACCATAACCGCTACACACAGCCTACATCGTTGTCACCATATTACATCATAGTCAACATAGCTACTAGAACTAACGCGTTAGTAAACCTGCTACAATCATGCAGTGCAGTGTATAGCAAGTACTTTAGCAGTTACACCAGCTTACCTTGACTTGGAAGAGTTCTAGTTTTGGATAGCCTTAGCCAGCTAGCTAACATAGCATCCCTTTCTGTTTAAGCCGCGTGTTTGAGTAGGCTAAACAAGCTAGCTGCATTTGCTAGCTAAGTAAGTGAAAGTGAAACAAATACCAACGAAATATACAGTAGCTAGCTCTCTCTCTTGCTTCTTAATTTTTGAAGAAATTAACTATTGTCTTTCTCTTTGAGTCATCTAACTTACTCACCACATTTTATGAACTGCAGTGCTAGCTAGCTGTAGTTTATGCTTTCAGTACTAAATTCATTCTCCGATCCTTTGATTGGGTGGACAACATGTTAGTTCATGCTGCAAGAGCTCTGATAGGTTCGAGGACATCCTCCGGAAGTAGTCATAATTACTGTGTAAGTCTATGTATGGAAGGGGGTGAGAACCGTGAGCCTCTTAGGTTTTGTATTGAAGTCAATGTACCCATAGTAGGACGGAAACTAGCTGTAACTATACTCTTCACGTTCTATATGGATAATTAGGACAAATTCCTCAGAGGTCACTGCACGGTTTATATTTGTTCTACTTAAACTATAATATTTTTTTCTAAATCAAAAAAGATGACAGAAACAAGCAGCTTTCGTTAAATTACTTTTCAATGCAACAACAAATAATTCATAAAGCTATGGATTAAATAGTTCAGTAAAACAGAGATGGACATACAGACAGAGATCAGTTACCGCTAGACGTCAGCTATGAGCGTTTGAAGCCACATATCCCAAGCAGGGTGAACACCAAGTCCACTACAAAGAGGATCAGATTGACGTATGTCATGAATGCCACCATGAACTGAATGGCCCAGATACAGAAGCTTCCAGGACAGTCACTGGGACGAGGGTTGCCTCTGAACGTATAGATGGGCCAGATGATGGCAGCAAAGGTATAGAGAACCACAGAGATGACCAGAAATATAAACACAAACCTGTCTATACTAAATGGCAAACAGTTCTTAATTTTTTTAAAGATGTTGGTGATGATGATAATAGGGATGATGGGGAAGGGAATAACATAGGCCACAATGCACATTATCAGGGCCGGTTTCCCGTCGTAACCCGTGAGGGAGATAAAAATTATGCAGCTCACGAAAGCCTCCAGAACCTTCCAGAATCCAGGCAGGGTGGCCAGGTAGCTCCCCTTCTTCTTATCCATTAACTTATCTTTCACGACCTCTAAGATGTAGGCCACGCCGCAAAGTAGGGCGAGGAAGGCGATCAAAATCGAGTACAAACATTTTTGGCAGATGTAGAAGTTGGCGTACATGACGAAGACGGACGCGGTCATGAGGGCGGAGGACATCGCCATTCCCGTGGTGAAGTCGTCCCAGTCCAGACAAAACTTGAGGAGGAGGTGGAGCAGGAACATCTCAATGACGGTGATGATGAGGGTCATGATGGAGCAGAAGGCCCAGGTGAACATGGCATAATTCCAGTAGGTGTGTTGAGTCTCGCCCTGAACAGCGGCCAGGATGAAGGTCACGATGCCCAGCACTATCTGAGTCATGTGCAAAGCCCCTCGTCCATTTAACAGAGTGGAAGGGGTGAATATGGCTTCGGACAGTGCCCCTTTTATTTTGTCCATTGTTTCTGGTGATGCCTCTTCTCCTCTATTAGGCTTTCTAGATAGCTGTAATGGTAGAGGAGAGAGTGAGCTTCGTCTGAGCTATCCTCTTATCTGTTACCTAGTAATTAGCCAGTCACAATGTGCTTTGCATAATATTCATGAAATAAGGTGTGCAGTATCTACGCTGGACAGTATACTCCAGTGAGTTTTAAGAGGGCGTGTTTCTCAAGTTTCTGAAAGAGAGACTGGCTAAAAGTGTTCAATTCAAGCATGGAAAACATCTGTGACAAATACACACTCCCTCCTAAAGTTTCCAAGGATAAAATGAAACAAGGTTTATTTCAATAATCAAAAAAGGGAGGGAGAGCTGCTTTGGCATCAAGAATGAAGACAAAGAAAGGTGTTCATTGGAGAACAGCGTATAACTTATAGCGACCAAATGAAGTTGCAGCTGTGTAAAAACATTGCACTTCAAAAAATACAAGGCACTCTCTCTTGTGGAAAAGTTAAAAAGCCTTTATTTTAGCGGCTATCGCATTGCATTGCTTCTTCGGGGAAGGCCTGTGAGCCGCAGCGCGTTGGTGATTATTATTATTTTATTTTTTTAAATAAAAAAAGCTAGTTAGACAGACTAAATAAAGTACAGCAACACTCATCTGTATGGTAAGATGAAAAGTTTTATTGACAAGGATGTACTGAACGTGCTACATATACAGTGGGGAAAAAAGTATTTAGTCAGCCACCAATTGTGCAAGTTCTCCCACTTAAAAAGATGAGAGAGGCCTGTAATTTTCATAATAGGTACACGTCAACTATGACAGACAAATTGAGAAAAAAAATCCAGAAAATCACATTGTAGGATTTTTAATGAATTTATTTGCAAATTATGGTGGAAAATAAGTATTTGGTCACCTACAAACAAGCAAGATTTCTGGCTCTCACAGACCTGTAACTTCTTCTTTAAGAGGCTCCTCTGTCCTCCACTCGTTACCTGTATTAATGGACCTGTTTGAACTTGTTATCAGTATAAAAGACACCTGTCCACAACCTCAAACAGTCACACTCCAAACTCCACTATGGCCAAGACCAAAGAGCTGTCAAAGGACACCAGAAACAAAATTGTAGACCTGCACCAGGCCGGGAAGACTGAATCTGCAATAGGTAAGCAGCTTGGTTTGAAGAAATCAACTGTGGGAGCAATTATTAGGAAATGGAATACATACAAGACCACTGATAATCTCCCTCGATCTGGGGCTCCACGCAAGATCTCACCCCGTGGGGTCAAAATGATCACAAGAACGGTGAGCAAAAATCCCAGAACCACACGGGGGGACCTAGTGAATGACCTGCAGAGAGCTGGGACCAAAGTAACAAAGCCTACCATCAGTAACACACTACGCCGCCAGGGACTCAAATCCTGAGTGTCCCCCTACTTAAGCCAGTACATGTCCAGGCCCGTCTGAAGTTTGCTAGAGTGCATTTGGATGATCCAGAAGAGGATTGGGAGAATGTCATATGGTCAGATGAAACCAAAATAGAACTTTTTGGTAAAAACTCAACTCGTCGTGTTTGGAGGACAAAGAATGCTGAGTTGCATCCAAAGAACACCATACCTACTGTGAAGCATGGGGGTGGAAACATCATGCTTTGGGGCTGTTTTTCTGCAAAGGGACCAGGACGACTGATCCGTGTAAAGGAAAGAATGAATGGGGCCATGTATCGTGAGATTTTGAGTGAAAACCTCCTTCCATCAGCAAGGGCATTGAAGATGAAACGTGGCTGGGTCTTTCAGCATGACAATGATCCCAAACACACCGCCCGGGCAACGAAGGAGTGGCTTCGTAAGAAGCATTTCAAGGTCCTGGAGTGGCCTAGCCAGTCTCCAGATCTCAACCCCATAGAAAATCTTTGGAGGGAGTTGAAAGTCTGTGTTGCCCAGCTACAGCCCCAAAACATCACTGCTCTAGAGGAGATCTGCATGGAGGAATGGGCCAAAATACCAGCAACAGTGTGTGAAAACCTTGTGAAGACTTACAGAAAACGTTTGACCTGTGTCATTGCCAACAAAGGGTATATAACAAAGTATTGAGAAACTATTGTTATTGACCAAATACTTATTTTCCACCATAATTTGCAAATAAATTCATAAAAAATCCTACAATGTGATTTTCTGGATTTTTTTTTTCTCATTTTGTCTGTCATAGTTGACGTGTACCTATGATGAAAATTACAGGCCTCTCTCATCTTTTTAAGTGGGAGAACATGCACAATTGGTGGCTGACTAAATACTTTTTTTCCCCACTGTATGTAGGCGTCATCATGCACCAGTACGACAACGAACTAAGCCACACAGGGAATAAATCAAGTTCACAGCGTAAAGGACCAGGTTGACACATCAGTTGTGGCAGATGGAAGGACCAAGGTCTTTCTGGAAGCTGAAAACGGGCCACAGGGTCGCAACGTCAAAGCCAGCCAGGTACACCTCCAGAGGCTGCAGGAGATGTTTTACAGAGGGACAGAAGTTGAGGACGATGACAAGGATCGTCAAGGGGAAACACACAGAGTAGACGATCACACACCACTCCATTCCTGGATTTCCCTGGTAGTCGGTAAGGAACACAAATATGATGCACGCCCCAAACGCCTCTGCGACTTTCAGGAACCCTGGTAAGGTGGACAGGTAGCTGCCCTTGCCCTCCTGTTTGGCCGTGACCGCTTCCAGGGCAAAGGTTGTGGAGCACTGGGCGGTGAGCGCGGTGGCCACCAGGGGGATGGGGCAGCTCCAGCACACGTAGAACAGTGGGTAGATGACAGACGGCGAGAGGACCAGGAGGGTGTCCAGTAGGACCAGGCCAGCAGTGAGGTCATCCCAGTCCAGGAACTCCCTCAGCGGGCTACATGGACCAGAGCTCGGCAGTGGAGGTCACTAGGGTGGTCAGGAGGCAGAAAGACCAGGCCAAGATGCACCACACCCAGCAGGGGTTGGAGGACAGACTTCTGTGTCCCACCACAGTGATTAGTATGACACAGAGCAGGATCTCCAGGAGACGCAGAATACCTCTCTGCTGCTTGAACATGTTGTTTTGGTCCTGCAGGGAGCGTTCCTGTTGAATACTCTCGATGGAAGGACAGTCTCGGAGAGACTGGGTTAATTGCACAGCGCTGGATGAGGCCACGGTGCTAACGATGTGTCCTCGAACAAGTCAGAGGAAATACTGCCCTTCAACAATGACTCCCTTTAAGGTCGCATCAGAGATCAGGGAGCTATCGAAACCTGCCAGGCCAGAATAACTTGTGTTTGCTCCAGCTCTTCACCTCTGTCTTCTTCTTACATTTTTTTAGTCCATAGACCTTTTATAGCTAGATCACCCATTTTATCCCTAAGAGTACTCATCAGGGCCGTAATCAGGGTTTTAGTGAGGTCCGGAAGGGGGTGGGGGAGTTTCTATACAATTTAAAATGCTATTTGGAGAACAGCAAAAACAAGCAAAAATTACTCCAGCCATTATCACCTTGGCTGCTTTAGGTTCATTCCCCTCAGTCGATCTGCAAACACATAGCCTATTAGCTATACAATTGTAATTTTATACCCCTGAAAGGAGGGACATATGAGAAAGGACTCACACTGACATGTAGCATCAGCGATTGTTCAGTCAGTTGTAATGATTAATTGCATAAAATCAGCAACTCTTTACATAGATATCTATTTTCTCAAATTACATAGCGTTCACGTTTGTATTCCAAGGCATTACTAATCAAGCTCCGCACAAACAGACATCAATGGAGCACACAGATGATCGTATTATCACATTCACATTAATTATTACAATATTAATTAAGATTCTGTATTAATATCAGTGATGTAGTGGTAAAAAAAAAAGTGGGTAATAGATCAACTATAAACTCCAGTGGGCGATCGAGATAAGACGAACAACCACCATATGACATTTTTAGAAATGTATTGTTTGCATTTATATTGCATTTTAATGTAGGCCTATAGGAAAGATAGGCTATGTAGGGATCTTCATATTGAAACATATCTTATTTTTTTAAGTTCCTAACTTGTTTGATAAGATTAGTACATATTTTCTCAGGGGACCCCACATGGGGCCCAGACCCCAAGTTTGGGAACCAATGTACTAACCTCTCTCTCTGCTTGCTTCCTCTTTCTCTCTGTCTCCTCTGCTTCCTCCTGCATACACTGCAGCCTGCCTCAGCCTCACCACAGAGCGCCACATTACTGTCTCTTGGTAGCCTATTCTCTGTAAAGCTTATTATGAGAACTTAGTAGCCTATTCTTTGCTCCTGTTGAGGTAAGCTCAATTCTTTTGTATTTAGTATTTTATTGGGATCCCCAATTAGCCACTGCCAAGGCAGCGGCTACTCTTCCTGGGGTCCAAACAGGAAACAAAACAACAAATAAAATACGTAATATACATAATGTAATATATATCATCTCCTGCCTCTGCCTCACGCTTCAGAAACAGGAGATGGCTCCTGCCCTATGAGCCGTTCCAGCTCGCACAAGCCAAGGCTCGTGCAAGGCCACCCACCTACATAATACAGTGCAAATTACAATACAAAATATATAAAAATGTCTGTGTTTCTTCACAGTCCCTGTTGCGCTGTAAGGTGTTCTTTTATCTGTTTTTTAAATATGGTTTTATTGCTAGCTTGAGTTACCTGGGGTGGCAGAGAGTTCCATGTAGTCATGGCTCTATTTAATACTGTGCGTTTCCCAGCCTCTGTTCTGGACCTGGGGACTGTGAAAAGACCTCTGATTGCATGTCTTGTGTTGTACCGATGAGTGTCCGAACTGTGTGCCAACTGCTTGAACAGACAGTTCAGTACCTTCAACACCTCGCACAAAGACCAGTAGTGATGCATTCAATCTCTCCTCAACTTTGAGCCAGGAGAGATTGACATGCATGCTACTGACATTCGTCCTCCGTGTACACCTAAGTGCAATATGTGCTGCTCTGTCCTGTTTCTTAAGTCCTTTGTTGTTGTTGTAATGGGGAGTTTTAACAGTGGCCAAGTAGGCTACTGTGGCTGTTTGATCATAATGTAGGCCTACCAGAGTGGCCTACCGTCAAAACAATGGAGAAAAATGCATCCCATAACATTTTAACATGGAAATAGCTGTTCTATCATTCAGCCTACAGTAGCAGCCAATGTGTGGTGTTCAATGCCTACATTCCATGAGACTTTTGGAGAAGAAAAAAACATGCAGGGCTTGACATTAACCTGTTTATCCACTTGTCCTTCAGACAAGGAGGTGACTGAAAATGTGTTTGATGCAAGAAACCACTTTACAAAATAAAATGCATTATTATTCCCATACCATTATTACAGAGAATAAGACAAATTATGCTAGGCTCTGCCTATTGGCTACTTAGATTATTCAAGACCGTCTCAAAATACAACACTTCCCCTTTAAGACATAAAAAAGCTCTTTACCTGACTCGCTTTTCAAAGATGGCTAGAAATGCACACATTTTGTGCTCTTGTTGGAAGCAACCACTCCCCCACTGTCGACTAGAAATTAGCTATAACTGGGCTAATAACTCACTTACTAGCAAAAAATATGAACAAATGTGCACACATGGCTACATGCAGCTCTCACTTTGATCTCAAAACAAGCGCATCTTATCCGACCACTCATACTGTAGCCTAAACACAGTCCAGTTAAAAGTGAATGGCACAGATCCATATATGGCAATGGCTATTTGCATATAGGCCTACTGCAGCTCTGATTGGTTATGGTGCACCAGTCTGTGTAGAGTACAGGCCTGAGTCATGCCTGTCAATGCAATAGAATCCTACTCCAATGTGCTTTGCCTACAAGAAAATATTTTGCACAGTTAGTTTTGCATGCTAAATTACATTGAAAGTGGCTAATATTGCATTGATTGTATCACAATTCCCACAGTAGAGCAAAACGTTGATAGTGTTAACTAAAGGGGAAAACTAGAAAGTTGAGTGAAGTTCAATCTCGCGCTTCTCTGCATGGGCTCATATTTCTTCTGTGCAGCAGTGTGAGGGAAGCTGTGTGCCTGAGCGCAGTTTAGAGGGAACATTGATTATGACCATTATAATGATATAAACCAGATTGCCCTTATGTCATTTATCATTCAAAAAGAGGGTGTCTTGTCCTGCTCCTGAAATCTGCTCCTGCATTCATCCCAGTCGTCATAGGTGCATGTCTGACTTCAATTTGGGCGCAATTACAATGATAATTTTATATGGTCAATTTCAGAAAAGTTTATGTAACGTACTGTAATGGAATGTTTTGCCTTGTGTGGTAGGTTTTGATACTCTTATGTAGGTGTCATAACCAGCCATAAAATAACTACCATGGTAGGTTTTGTGGGTTTTGACACTCTTAAGTAGGTGTCATAACCAGCCATAAAATAATGCAATATATGTCACAACAGGTCTAAATATATGTGTCATGACAGTGTTATAACCATATTATGACAAGTTATGTCAGCTGTTATGACAAATTATGACATGGTTATGACGCTGGGTGTCAAGTAAAGTGTTACCAGGACCTGTCTGGTCGACTGACATGTCAAGAAAGCAGAGCAACGCCTTATCTTGGACAGATCTCTTCCCATTTAGCAACCATTAAGTCTATACACTGAGTATACCAAACATTAGGAACACCTTCCTAATATTGAGTTGCACCCCACTCCTTTTGCCCTCAGAACAGCCTCAATTCATCGGGGTAGGGACTCTACAAGGTGTCGAAAGCGTTCCACAGATGTGCTGGCCCATGATGACTCCAATGCTTCCCACAGTTGTGTCAAGTTGGCTGGATGTCCTTTGGGTGTTGGACCATTCTTGAAACACACGGGAACCTGTTGAGTGTGAAAAACACAGCAGCTTTGCAGTTCTTGACACACTCAAACCGATGCGCCTGGCACCTACTACCATACCCCGTTCAAAGGCACTTACATTTTTTGTCTTGCCCATTCACCCTCTGAATGGCACACATACACAATCCATGTCTCAAGGTTTGAACATCCTTCTTTAATCTGTCTCCTCCCCTACATCTACACTGATTGAAGTGGATTTAACAAGTGACATCAATAAGGGATCATAACTTTCACCTGGATTCACCTGGTCAGTCTATAATCATGTTCTTAATGTTTTGTATACTCAGTATATGTTTTGACCATGACAGCTTGCTATCTAGGGTTACACCCAGCAGTTTAGTCTCCTCAACTTGCTCAATCGCCACATTATTCAATAATAGATCTAAATGAGTATTTTTTTTTAGATATTTAGCACCAGCCTATTGCTAGTTACCCATTCTAAAGCTGACTCGAGCTCTATTTATTTTACTGTCGTAGCCAACGTGTATACTGTTGAGTTGTCAGCGTACATAGGCACACAGGCTTTATTCAATGTCAGTGGAAGGTCATTAGTAAAAACAGAAAACAATAATGGCCCAAGCCGACTGCCCTGTGGTACACCACACTCAACTGAATTTGCATTAGAGAGGCTTCCATTAAATAGGTAACTCTCAATCCATGATAAGGCAGTGGATGCAAATCCATAACCCCTATGTTTTTTCAGCAACAGGTTATGATTAGGGCTATGGCGGTATTGACATTTTGTCAGCCGGTTATTGTCATGCAAAAGACTGCCGATCTCATAGTAATTACATACAAACCGCTGATGCGTGCATTAAAAACGTATAATAAATCAATGTAATATACACCATCACAATAAATCCATTATTTTAGTCAGGTCTAAAGAAACATTATGATATGAAGAAAATGTATTTCAGAAGAATAGAATATGAGTTGGCCTACTGTAGGCCTATGTTGTCTGGCTATGCTCCATGCCATAGGCTGTAGGCTTGTTAATTTAGCTGACAAGATATGCTTATAAGTCCTGTGCCATTATTTTATTTTATATGATTTTATAGTAAGAAGAATATAATTGAACTTAGCTGAATAAAATAGAAAGGATATTTTTCACATTACAGAGCGACTGGGCATATGAAGTGCCTATGTTGAGCGTAAAAGTGATCATTTGAAACAGGTCCTTTATGCTAGATTTAGAG